TGCGCACCGGACCGGCTCTGCTGTCGGGTAAGAGGGCGCGCACGTGGGACGAGCTGGGCACGTCCCTCCCGCCTGGCCGCTCTTTCTAGCTGCCTGGACTTGGAGAAGGTCGAGTTTGCATTCCTGAGCCGCAGGCGCAGGGTGCATAGCGAGCGCGAGCCCTGCCCCACGCTGCCCTCGGTCGTTGGGGTCCCTTGCCCTGTGGCCGCTGTCCCCTAGGTAGGAGGTAGGAGGAGAGACGCCAGCAGCCTTTGTACCGCAGGGTAGGTGGAGCCGGGAGGGCTCCCAGGCGGGTGGAGCCCGGCAAGTGTCGCCCAGCTTTTAAGGAACCTTAGTTTGTCTTGCGTTTGGTGCACTGAGTCTCTAAACTTGGAGGTCTTTAGTTTACTGGACCATAACTGAACACTCGGAAGTAAAACTGATTAAGATATATATATATATATATATATATATCTTAAAAATTTTTTTTCTGGTACTAGGCATCATGTTTTCAAAACAGGCATGATGTCAAAAACTCAGCTGTTTCCTAAAAATAATAAAGTCTTTTGGACTCAATGCATAAGTTCAGCTCGACTTTACTGAGCCATTCTTGTGTACTGGGACTGAAATGAGGCCTACTTTAAACATTTCAAAAAATAATTATTGCGACCAGCAGATGGGTGGTGGTTAGGTGTCTAGAGTCCCACATGGCCCACCGTGGTTGGAACCCTGGACCTGGTGGCTTGAAAATCTCACCTGGCAGTTGTGCATGCGCACCCCAAGATCCCAGGAACAGACTGGAGAAGGGATTGCAGCGATTGTGGAGGGGAGGGGATTTCTCAATTTCCCTCTTACTGTGTCTGTCTCTCCAGTCAGTGCAAAAAGAAAAACTCTTTAAAAAATAAGGGGCCAGTAGGTGGCGTAGTGGTTTTGGCGTTGGACTCCTGCATGGCTGACTGTGATAACGTGTGCGTGCCTGCCCAAAATCCCAAGAGGTTAATGGAGGAGAAGGGATTGCAGGGTGGCCAAGGGGGAGGAGGGCGGTTTCTCACTTTCTGTCTCTCCAGCCAGCCCATGCGCCCTATGACCAAATCAGCTCTCCAAAGCAAAGGAATTATTTCATTTTATTTACTACTAATTTTTATTTATTTATTTATTTATTTATTTATTTATTTTCCTTTCTCTTTTTTGGGAGAGTTTTTTGTTTTGTTTTGTTTTTGCTATAGGGGGCGTGCACTTGCCAGCCAGACAGAGAAAGACAGACAGAAAGCGTCAAATCACCCCCCGGGGGGGATGGCCACGCCGCAATCCCTCCTCCTCTATTCTCCTCTCGGGATCTTGGGCACGCACGCACACGCGCCCAGCGTGAGTTTAAGCCACTGGGTCCAGGACTTGAACCGCTATTGACTATGTGGGAGTCCAGCGACATAGCCATTATGCTAACTGCTGGACCCTATTACTAATTTTTCATATGCTATAGGCCAACCACCATGTCACCTGCTGGCCTGTGAGGCCTGCCTTAAATGGGCTTGAAATAACAGGGAGACCTGCCCATAACCTTCTGGGCCATTGTGCTACTTTAGCACAATTAGGACAAGGGAACGGGAGTTTCCTTGCTTCATGCTGAGCCCTTGTCACTGACTGCTCCTTGTGAAGAACTCCAGCTTATGCAGGGTGCACAGGCCTGTGATGGCTGTAGCCTCATTCACTGTGTTAGCACCCTGTTCAGAACTGCAGTTGTTGATAAGTTGATTTATTCCAGAGTCTGAAGCATAAAGATTTCCTTTCCCCACGGGAATACAAGGGTGAAGCATTTCTCAGATAAGAATTTGGTTTCAGGTCTGTTTTTTGTTGCTGTTCCTCTGTGCTACACTAATTCTAGGCATCTGCATTATCCAGTTAAATGCTGTGCCAATGATCAATGCTCCTGATCTGGTAAAGCTCTTACGTTTTTGGTAGAAGACAAAGCCCAATTTCAGTTCTGGTTCTAACCCTTCACCTCTGTGTGATCTTGGGCATAGTCATTTTTCCTCCCTGAATCTGTTTCCTTCATCTGAAAGGAGATGATAATCCCTAGGGATCTTACCAAGTTGTTGGGAGAAGGAAATGGAATAATGTAACTGCTGCACACACAGCCTGATTGATATAATAAGCACTTAATAAATGATGTTTGTTATCCACCATTAGTGTTTATCAAGTAAATAGGAAGAAAAATGTGATCACTCTTACGTACTTTAATTATATACTTTGTAATTGTGTGTAATCATTATGAAATTATATAACACATTTTAACATACTAGTGACTAATCAGAGGACAAGGCAAAATTTTCCTAATTACAGGCCCTGATTTTGAAGGTCTCAAACCATGTTTTTCAAGACCAAGTAAGAAAGTAATTATTTACCTAATCTGTCCACTTTTCTCTGTTGGGCCAAGGGTTACAGGAGCATTGCACTAATCGTTGTCTGTAGCCTAAATAGCATGCCTAGCAGGAAGACTTACGGACTTTGAAGTCAAGCAGACCTAGGTGACTGAGCTTAATCATATTGATGTCTTCCTAAAATTGCAGTTGCTCAGTTACTAAGTTCAGGGTCAGAGCAACCTTATTCCTAACGTTATCTTTACAGTCAGGCAAGATGGCAAGGCCCAAGTCAGGACTGTCCTCTCAGAGAGACCTCACCCTTACTTTCAAAAGTGTATTAGTTTTGGGCCAGCAGGTGGCATGGTGGTTAAGGCCCTGGATTCCCACATGTCCAACCGCGGTCTTAGTCCTGGACTTGGCTGCTTGAAACTCACGCCAGGTATGTGTGCATGCCACCACCACGCCAACTGTCAGCCCCCTAAGTTGAACTATTTTAAGCTGAGGACTATCTGGAGAGGTTTTCACTACAGGGCGCGTGCGCTCTCGCCAGACAGACAGAGAGAGACATAGAGACAGAAAGCGAGAAATCACCCCCCAGAGGGGATGGTCACGCCACAATCCCTTCTCCTCCATTCTCCTCTCGGGATCTTGGGCACGCACGCACATGCGCCCGGCTTGAGTTTTAAGCCACCGGGTCTGGGATGCGAACCGCGGTCTACTACGTGGGAGTCCAGCGACATAGCCATTACGCTAACTGCTGGTTCCCGCAAAGTGCTTTTTGAGAAGTGGTACCTCTGCTTTTCTGAAATACCTGTCTTCTGTTTTAGTGCGTAAATTCACGGAGAAACATGAGTGGATAACAACAGAAAACGGTATTGGAACAGTGGGAATCAGCAATTTTGCACAGGTATCTTACATTTGCAATGGTCTACTCTCATATAATTTGGATTCTATTTCTTAAAAATTGTTTAAAAATTGTGATTCTGCCTATAGTACTTTGAGCCTTTTAAAGGCCTGAAGAAAATCAGTCATAGGTGAAACAAGTAAAATATAATTTAGCTAGGGTGGTACGTGGTTGGTTTGTTTGTTTTAACCCTCAGAGGGTGTGTGTGCTCACCAGAGAGAGACAGGGAGAGGGAGAAAGCACCCCCCATGGGGAATGGCCGTGCTGCGATCCCTTCTCCATTTTGCCCTTTTGAGGGTTTTGGGGCACATGCACACACGTGGCCGGGATCTAGAACTTGAACATGAGCTTGGCCATGTGGATCCAGTGCCTTTACCATCAGGCCATGGGTTGGCCCTAGGTTGTGATATTTTCAGAGATGCTGATAAAGTTAACATTTAATGTTAAAACTAGGGGCATGGGGCCAGCTTCTTGGCATAGTGGTAATGGGCTGTTCAACAGAAGCTGAGCCCCTGTGCAAGTGCCCAGGTCCAGCTGCTTGGAGGAAGGGTTAGTGGCATGACCAAATCCTATTGGGGGGGTGCTTCTCTCTCTCATTTGCATGGGTAAATGGTCTTTCAGGAATAAAGGGAAAACAACATTTTTCAAAGTAGAAGAGGGCCAGCCAGGTGGCCTGGTGGTTAAAGTGGCTGGGTCCCACATGGCTGGCTGCATAGTTCCAGCCCTGGATGGTGTGGTGGTAACAGCACCCTGCACTGCTGGACATATGGGAAGGCCTTAGGTTTGTGTCTTGGGGCCTCCTTGTACACCAGGTGCATACACACATGCCAGTGTTCCTAGCTGGCAGAAGCTGGGGGGGTGGGTCACAGTGTGGAGACCCTGTTAGGATGCCTGTCTCCTCTCTCAGAAGACACTTTTTAAACATTTATTTATTTAGTTCTTGCTATAGGGCATATGCACTTGCTGAAGCGAGAAAGGGGGAAAGTGAGAAATCACCCCCCAATGCCACACTACAATCCCTTCTCTGTTCTCTTCTTGGAATTTTGAGCACTCATGTACACATGCCCAGTGTGTTTCCCAAGCCACAGAGTCTGGGACTCAAATTGCACCGTCAGCCATGGGTGTTCCAGGTGCTGTCACTACACCACCTGGCCTAGACTCTTTTTTCTTTTTTGGAGAGATTTTCGCCATAGGGCGCGTGCGCTTGCCAGACAGGCAAGAGAGAGACAGAGAGACAGAAAGCGAGAAATCACCCCCCAGGGGGGATGGTCATGCCGCAATCCCTTCTCCTCCATTCTCCTCTCAGGATCTTGGGCACGTACGCACACGCGCCCGGCGTGAGTTTTAAGCCACCGGGTCTGGAACGCGAACCACGGTCGACTACATGGGAATCCAGCGACATAGCCATTACGCTAACTGCTCGTTCCCATCTTTTTTTTTTTTAAAGTAGGAAACATACCTTGTTTAAAGAAAGCAGTATGTTTGTTTTATATTAGGTAATTAAGGAAAGATGACAAGCTGCAGTGTGGCTGGTGCGTTTTGTGGGTACAGTGACACGCTCACGACCAGGGGACATGAAGAAGAGGGAAAACCTAAACAGGCAAAGATTACACTGTGGGAAGCCTTTTGTTTGGACTGTTCATTACCCTATCTCCAGTGATCCCATACTGATACTGTTTAAATGAAAGTGAGAAGCACAATAGAACTATGGGCCAGTGATAGGCAATTGGATGTCTGTGCTGGGGTGATGCAGGACAGGGAGGGGAGATGTTAACTTATGGGGAAAATTCCTTAGAAATGTTGGATTCTTAGATATTGAGAATCAGTTATATTTTCACTGGCACATATGAATACATACTTTGAGGCCCAGAATAGAACATTTTGTGAGTCGTCCGCATGATGGAATTCTTACCACCTGGGGCTTATGTATAAAGGGAGTCACCACCATGGAAATGACATACACTCTGACAGATGTCTTCTGAGTCGTACAAAGGGTTGTAATCACTCACTGGATGCAGATTTCCTGAAGTCAAGCTCTTCAAGGGAGTGTAAAGCTTTAAGGGATTATGGTGACTGATTTGTTGAATCAATGAGTTAACAGTTTTACTTTTTTTTTTTTTTTTTAGTTTGCTATAGGGTATGTGTGCTTGCTAGAGAGAGAGAGAGACAAAGTGAGAAACCCACTCCCCAGGGGGAGATGGCCACACCACAGACATATGCCAGGCATGTTTCTCAAGCTGTCCAGGACTTGAACTGTGAAGTTGGCCACATGGGATCCAGCCACCTAACTACCATGCCACCTGGCTGGCTCAGTTTTTACATTTTAAAGAGTTGTAAGAAAAACCAAAGACTTTGTTCCCTTGGTGTAAAATACATATAGTCTGAATCAGGGCATTCAGTGTTTGGCCTTTTCCTGTTTACTGGGGGGTTTAAATTTGGTGTCCTTTTTTTTTTTAAGGAAGCTTTGGGAGATGTTGTTTATTGTAGTCTGCCTGAAGTTGGGACAAAACTGAACAAACAAGGTGAGTGTTCTTCTCATGATGTCATGATTCATGCCGTGAATTTTCCTTACCTATCTTTACCTTGAATAGCAGCTTGTTTGCACCCAGGATAAGTTATTTTTGACTTAAATAACAGAATTTTCAAACAAAAGATGTTTAATGGTAGGGATTCACTGTTATCCCTTACAAGCAGTTCATAGATAGTTGGATATTGGGTTGGGTCATGGAAGGTTATTAAAGACAAAACCTCTCTTCATAGTTTTTCTGCCTCAGTTTGTCACAGGGTAGTGGGAAATATTCAGATATCACATTCTCAAATAATGATATCTGAAAGTAAGAAGGGAAGGTCAGGTTTTCTCATCTCTTTGTCAAGAAGGAACACTGGACTGACCCTGTTGCCTGGTGGTTAAGGGAGCTGGATCCCACAGGGCCAACCATAATTGGAATTCTGGCCTCCGAAGCTTGAAAAAATGCCAGATATGTGTGCAGGCGTGCTCCAAATCCAGACAGAATGGAGAAATGGAGAAGGGACATGACCACACCCTACTGTGGGGATGCTTGCTCCCTCTTCCTCCCTGTCTGTTCCCTGGCATATGCAAAGAAAAAAAAAGAGAGAGAAAAGGAAAAGAACATCTCCATTAGAAGTTTGTCAGCAGGCATTGTTTTACATTTCATTAGTCAGGTGTGGGCTGTGTTACCATCCTTAGCTATTAGGGATGACAGGAAGGAGAACAGGGAGCATTTCCAGAAAGTACCAGGAGATGACTTGAATTGCTCCACTCCTTGCCTCCCTATAAACTGATTGGTACTGTGTACTATCACTGAGGTGTTAACTTTAGTTATATCTGTATTTCTTTGGAAACAGTAGCGATTATCAAGAAAGAACATGAGCAAAGAGTCAGAATTTGTTTTTTTTCTTTTTTTAGAATTATTATCATTATTTTTCATTTTGACTAGAGAGAAACAGAAAGTGAGAAAGTACGTCGCCAGGTCCAGGACTCGAACTGTGGTCTGCTGGATCCGATGTGCTCAACTTCACAGTTCAAGGAGTTCAGCACCTTTAACCACCCTGTCACCAGCCAGCCCTCAGAACTTGGTTTTGGATCCTGGGCCCACAAGTTACCAGCCCTATGGCTTTGGGGAAAATTACTGAATTTAGGTCTCAGGTGTAAGTTAGGATACCTACCTTATAGACTCGTTAAGGATTAAATGAGTGTAATATCCAGCATAAAATAAGTGAAATGCATTGATTGTTAAGTGTACAATTTAATGAAAAATTTTTTGGGGGGAGAGGTTTTTGCTGTAGGGTGTGTGCATTTGCCAGAAAGACAGAGAGAGAGAGAGAGAGAGAAAGCGAGAAATCACCCCCCCAGGGAGGATGGGCCATACCAAATCCCTTCTCCTCCATCTTCTCTTGGGATCTTGAGCACACACGCATGCATATGTGCCCAGCGTGAGTTAAAGCCACTGGGTCCGGGACGCAAACCGCGGTTGACTACATGGGAATCCAGTGACATAGCCATTACTCCAACTGCTGGTCCCCGTCTTAATGAATTTTAACAAACGTATCCACCTGTGAAAATGTTCTCAATCAAATCTCTTCTTTGATTTCTACACCATATATTAGTTTTACCTATTTATATAAAAGGAAGCACACAGTATGTTTTCTGTCTGGCTGCTTTCTGTGTAATACCATGATTTTAAGATCCATTCATATTTGAGTGATAAGTAGTTTATTCTTTTTTGTTACTAACTGCTGTTCCATTGTGTGAATATAAAACATCTTTATTCTATTTTGTTGATAGATTTTTGTGTTTCTAGTTTTTGGCTATTATGAATAAAACCACTCATAATGTAAACATTCTTTTCTTTGCGTTGTGTCTCTTCTTTCCCCTTGGGTAAACACACATAAGAGTGGAATTTCTGGGTCATATCTACATATATGTTTAATAAGAAACTGCCAAATGATTTGCCGAAGTGGTTGTGCCATTTCACATTCACAATGGCAATATTAGAGAATGCCAGTTGCTACAAATCTCATTATGGGTTTAACATGTGTTTACCAAATGATTATTATTGAAGATCTTTTCGTATGCTTTTTGCCACTTACACCTTTTTTTAGTGAAATCTCTATTCAAGTTTCTTTTTTTTAAGTGACTTAACTTTTTTCTAAGGATTATTTTATTTAACTTTATTTATTTATTTAATTTGGCCAGAGAGGGACAGAGAGAGAGAGAAAGTGAGAAAGCAAGCTGCCAGGTTCAGGACTTGAACCATGGTCAGCCATGTGGGAGTCCAGCGCCCTCAACCACCACACCACCTGCCAGCCCCTCTATTCAAGTGTTTTACTGAATAACCCTGGAGTTTGTATTTCAACATGTGCATTTTGGGGGCACAGACATTGAGATCATAGCACCAAGTTGGTGAAAATGTTACACTGTCATGTTTTCTCCTGAAAGCTTCATATCATTTTGGCTTTTTCTTTTCTTTTTCAGAGAGAGGGATTTTTGCTATAGGGTGCATGTGCTCACTAGAGAGACAGACAGCGAGAAATCACCCCCCAGGGGGTATGGCCATGCTGCAATCCCTTCTCCTCCACTCTACCCTTGGTACTTTCAGCACACATGCACACGTACCTGGTGTGAATTTTAACCTGCTGGGTCTGGGACTCGAACTGTGGTTGACCTCATGAGAGTCCAGCAATGTAACCATTATGCCATCTGCTGGTTCCTCATTTTGGCTATCATGCACAGGTCCATGAAGTTTTCTTTGGGGTGTGAAGTAGAGTTTTCTTTTTTCCTCCCATAAGGTTACTTATGTGTTCCAGCACCATTTACTGAAAAGTTCACTGACACCACTGAATTGGCCACTGCCTTTTATCAAAAACCAGTTGGCAAAAAAGAAAAAAAGGGACCAGTAGTTGGCGTAATTGCTGTTGCTGGACTCCCATGTAGTTGAACATGGTTTGAGTCCCAGACCCAGTGGCTTAAACGCACGCTGGACACCTGTGTGTGCGTGCCCAAGATCCTGAGAGGAGAACAGAGGAGAAGGGATTGCTGTGTGGCCATTCCTCCTCGGGGTGATTTCTTGCTTTTTGTCTCTCTGTCTCTCTTTGTCTTTCTGGTGAGTGCACGTGCCCTATAGCAAAAACCTCTCTCAAATAAAATATCATGCTGGGCACATGTGTGTGCATCCCCAAAATTGCAAGAGGAGAATGGAGAAGGGGTCGCGGTATGGCCATTTCCCCAGGGGGGTGATTTCTCACTTTCTCTCTGTCTCTATGTAAGCACATATGCCAAAATCTAAAAAAAAAAAAGTAAAAATAATTACATTTTCCAGTTGTTGGGTATTCACATATAGTAATACTATTGATATTTATTTGGATATATTGACATTTTATCTGTGACCTTATTAAATTCATTGTTTTGTAGGTTCTCTTAGGATTGTCTTTGTAAATAGTAATGTTATCTATAAGTGAAGACCTTTATTTCTTTTACTCTTTATGCATTTTCTTATGCCTTATTACACTGGCTAGGACCTTCAGTATAATGTTGAATCGAAGCAGTGAAAGTAGACACCATTACTTTGTTCTTGATCTTGTAAGAGAACATTTGAAATTTCATTATTAGACATAATGTAAGCTGTGGTGTTTGTTTGTTTGTTTGTTTTCAATTTTGCCCAGTAGGGAGGGAGGGAAGGAGAGGAGGAGAGAAACACCCCCCCCCATGGGGCATAGTCACCCTACAGTCCTTTCTTTCCCACCTTTCTAGAATTTGGGCATATATGCACAAGGGCCAGGTGTGTTTTTCAGGCCACTAGGTCTGGGACTCAAACTGCACAGCCAGCTGTGGGATCCAGCTGCCTTAACCACTATTCCACAGGCTGGCCCAGCTGTGGGGTTTTCATACAAGTTCCTTTCTATATTTAGTTTGCCAAGAGTTATTATTAATAAATGTTGAATTTTGTTATTATTTTTATGTAAAGCAATGATCATATGTTGTTTCTCCTTTATTCTCTCTTTTTAAAAAATAATTATTTATTTAATTTTATTTATTCATTTATTTATTTTAATTTGGCCAGAGAGAGAGAGACAGAAAAGGAAAGAGAGAGAGGGAAAGTGAGAAAGGAAGCCACCAGGTCTGAGACTTGAACCGTGGTCGGCCATGTGGGAGTCCAGCACCTTTAACCACCATGCCACTTGCCGGCCCCTTTCCTTTATTCTCTTAATGTGAAGAATAAAATTGACTTTAATGTTTAAGGAACCTTGTAATGTAAGATTAAACCCCAGATAGCCATGATGACAAAATTATTTTTTATGTATTCTGGATTTGTAAATAATTTTAAGAATTTTTATATTATATTCATGAGAGATACTTGTCTTTAATTTTCTTATAATGGCTTTATCCAATTTTGCAATCAGTTATACTAGTCTTATAGAGTAATTTTGGAAATGTTCCCACCACCTCTGGTTTTCTGGGAAAAAATGTCCAAGTTTAGCTTTGTTTCTACCTTAAAAGTTTATTTAACCAGTGAAATCTGGGTCTATAGATTTCTATGTAGGAAAGGCTTTGATAGAAACTTAAATGTATTCCATAATAGTTATAGGTCTGTTCAGATTTGTTAACTTCTACTGGTTTGCTTGTGCTTTTTTGAGAGGAATCTCTGCATCTCATGCTTCAAAATTATGCACAAAGGTGTTTTTATTTGTCATTCATTAATATTATGTGTAGGGTCTATATTTAAGGATCCCTTTTCCATTTACTGATACTGATGGTAATTTGTATCTTTTTTCTTAATCAGGCTCGCCAGGTATTAGTTTTGTTTGTAATCTTTCCAAATATCTAATTTTTTTTTCATTTGTTTTTTTATTCCATTGACTTCTGTTCGTGTCTTTGTTTCTTTCCTTTTACTCACTTAGATTTAATTTGCTCCTCTCTGGACTCAAACTGTGTAGTTGGCCATGTGGGATCCAGCTCATTAAACATCAGGAGACAGGCTGGTGTCTTTCTCTTTTATGTAATATGCTACCTTCTTCTGAGTGCTGAGGTTTTAGCAGTTTGTGACTTATAAAAGTGTGATTTTTCACTATGTCTGTTTTGTTTGGGGTTTGCTGGGGTTTTTTTGAGGGGGGGTTGGAGAAGTTTTTTTGCTATAGTGTGTGTGCATTCACCAGAAATACAGAGAGATGGAAAGCAAGAAATCACCCCCCCAGGGGGATGGCCATGCCACAATCCCTTCTCCTCCATTTTCCTATTGGGATCTTGGGCAAACATGCACACATGCTTGGCATGAGTTTTAAGCCACCGGGTCTGGAAATCGAACTGCGGTCGACTACATGGGAGTCCAGTGGCATAGCCAATATGCCAACTGCTGGTCCCAACTGAGCTTTAATTTGTAAGTTTTTTCCATCAGATTTGAAGTTTGGGTTCTTTTGGTCAGTTCTTCAGAAATTTTTCCCTTCTTTATTCTTCTGGGAGTCCAATTACATGTTTGTCAGATCATTTGATGGTATCCCACAGATGCAAGGCTCTGTTAATTTTTTGTTTTTGGTTTTAACTGTTCTTTAGTTTCAGTTGATCTTTCTTCACATTCTCTGATCATTTCTTATGCTGTCTGCAGTCTATGGTTTCCAAAGATTTTTATTTTTTAATTTATTTAAAAATTTTTTTTTTTGCTATGGTGTGTGTGTGCTTGTCAAAGAGAGAGGGAGTGTGAGAGAAATCACCCCCTGGTTGGGGGGAATGGCCAGGCCACAGTCTTCTCATCCATTCTTCTTTTAGGATTCTGAACACACATACATATGTACCCTGTGTGATTTTCACACTGTTGGGTCTGGGATTCGAACTGTGCAGTTGGCCATATGGGATCTAGTCACCTTAACCTCCACACTACTGCTGGCCTCCTAATTTTTCATTTTAGGTATTATACTTCTTAGGTTTTTTTTTGTAGAATGAGATTTTTTGCTATAGGGTACATGCACTTGGTAGAGAGACAGAGACAGAAAGTGAAAAATCACCACCTGGGGCAATGGCCATACCATAATCCCTTCTCCATTCTCTTCTTGGGGATTTTGGGCACACACGCACATGCTTGGCATGAGTTTTAAGCTGCCAGGTCTAGGACTTGAACTATGGTTGACTACATGGTAGTCCAGTGATATAACAATTAAACCATCTGCTGGTCCTGTATGCTTCTCAGTTCTACAATGTCTATTTTTTTTAATTCCTAGGTGTGTGCACTCACCAGAGAGAAAGCATCCCCCAGTGGGGCATGGTCACATCAAAGTCCCCCTTCTCCATTTCTCCATTCTGTAAGGATTTGAGGTACACACACATGCATCTTGCATGTTTTTCAAGCCATTAAGGCTGGGATCTGAACTACTGTCCCCCATGTGGGATTCAGTTCTCTATGCACAGGGCTTAACTGCTGCACTATGGTGCAGGCCCCCAGTACATCCTTTTTTAAAATCTCCATTTGTTTGCAAATATTCTCCTATATGTTCACTTATTACGCTGATCATTTTCTTTAACTCTTTGAACATGTAATAGGTACTTTAAGTTTTCTGGCTATTTCCAACATGTGGGATCTGTTTGTTAGCTTCTTTTTCTCTTCATGGTGGCACCCTTTTTTCTATTATTTCAGTTCTCAATTTCCAGCCACTGTGTATAGCCTCACATTATTTTGTGATCCTTCAAGCAAATAAGAATGGTTTTCTTCAGGGAACCAGCAGGTGGCGTGGTGGTTAAGGTGCTGGACACTCTCACATGGCCAACCATGGTTCAAGTCCTGGACCTGATGGCTTGCTTTCTCACTTTCTCTCTCTCTCTCTGTATTTCTCTCTTTCTGGTCAAATTAAAATAAATGAATAAGTAAATAAATAAAATTAAATAAGTCTTTAAAAAAAAAAGAATGGTTTTCTTCTTGTGTTCAAGTCATGCTGTGCTCTTTGGAAAGAGTATGTTGTCAGGGGACAGATTATATAAATGACAATCTCACCCATTTTGATTCTCCATTTCCAGGATTGACTTCCCTTTTGATCACTCTGCAAAATCTTCATATAATTGTTTTTTATGTTTTATTCATGGTTTATCATGGTTCTCTGCAGGAAGGTGATCTTTGTTTTTTGGGGTTTTTTTTGTTTTTTGTTTTTTTTTGAGAGGTTTTCGCTATAGGGTGCATGCGCTCGCCAGACAGAGAGAGACATAGAGAGAGAAAGCGAGAAATCACCCCCCAGGGGGGATGGGCACGCCACAATCCCTTCTCCTCCATTCTCCTCTCAGGATCTTGGGCACGCACGCACACGCGCCTGGCGTGAGTTTTAAGCCACCGGGTCCGTGACGCGAACCGTGGTCAACTACATGGGAGTCCAGCGACATAGTCATTACGCTAACTGATGGTTCCCCAGGAAGGTGATCTTATAAGATATACTTCACCATTACTGAAGCCTCCTAAAATTTTCCTTTTTTCTCCCCCTGAACCCAGTAAGTTGAAAGTTGAGTTTTTAATTAAGCTTATCTGTTATAGAGACACACCACCATTTTTAGTCACTGTGTCCAGAACAGACAAGTCGACTTTATTGAGGTGATTTAAACCTTTTGATAGGTGATATGAGTATGACAGAACCTATAATTTTGTTTCTAATTAAAGCAATTTGTTAATCATGGCTGATGAGAGGTAACAAGTTCTGTATATTTTATATTTTAAGTCACTGGCTTTTGGCATTTAATATTTTAATTTCCTCTTTTTAGATGAGTTTGGTGCTTTGGAAAGTGTAAAAGCTGCTAGTGAACTCTATTCTCCTCTGTCAGGAGAAGTAACTGAAATTAATGAAGCTCTTGCAGAAAATCCAGGACTTGTCAACAAATCTTGTTATGAAGATGGTAAGTTGTTGGAAATCTTTGAAGGATTTCCGCTACAGTTAACATTTAATCCAGCATTTAAGTTTAACTAATCATGACTTCTTGGTACTACGTAGAGATGTTCTGCTTTGAAAAGGAAAAGATACGCTGAATACATCAGTTATAGTTAAGATCTCCAAGGATAAAGGCATTTTAAGTGTTCTTAGTATCATAAGAAAAATGCTTTTTTTGTTTTTTTTGGAAAGGTTTTTGCTATAAGGGCATTTGTGCTTGCCAGACAGAGAAAGATAGAGAGACAGAAAGCGAGAAATCACCCACCAGAGGGGATGGCCACACCGCAATCCTTTCTCCTCTTGGGATCTTTGGCACGCACGCACACGCGCCCAGCCAAAGTTTTAAGCCACCGGGTGCGGGACACGAACCATGGTCGACTATGTGGGAGTCCAGCGACATAGCCATTATGCCAACTGCTGGTTGGCGAAAAATCCTTTTTTTAAAGGTTTATGCTATAGGGTGTGTGTGGTTACCAGAGACAGGAGGAGAGTGAGAAATCTTCCCCCAGGGGGATATGGCCACACTCGTCCTTTCACCTCCATTCTCTTCCTGAGATTTTGGGCATACATGGACATGTGCCTGTTATCCTTTTCAAGCTGCTGGGTCCAGGACCTGAATTGTGATCGGCTATGTGGGAGTCCAGCACTTTACCCACCACACCATCTGCTGGCCCCAATTCCTTGGTTTCTATGGTGTACACATCTGTCACGTGTTTAACCTCTTTAGATTTAAATAGCCACTCACATTGTGCTATATAAGAATTAATAATAAATAATGTATTGCATTTTTTGTTTTTGCATTTTCATTTCTGTAACTTAGTGAGGTTGTGAACAACAGTTTTCTCTATTTCATAGAGAAATTGAGGCCTCAAAGGATTTATCTGTCAGAGTCATATAGCCAGTTAACAACAAAGTTGGGGTTAGGCTAGTTCTCTTTTGCCTCTCACCCATTCTTGTAACTTTACTGCTTTCTAATACTCTTAACCTCAAGAGTTATATTGTTGGTGCTCCTGTCAGTACAGATGCAGTGTGCCCTTGCATATTTGAATCCTTAGATAAGGGGTTCAGTAAGATTAACGTTCAGTTATTACAACCTAAGAGGTATTCATTTATAATGATAGCATCTATTCTGTATGTACTTTTTGATCATATGTAAACATCTTAATTTAGTTGATAAGACTAAAATTTTTAAGTTACATGAACACTTAGTATATGATGTATGGAAGGAATACTATAATAGATTAATTTCACATTTTAATTGAGTCTGACTTTTTAAAAAAGTAATTTTGAATACATGATGATATTTCTTGGTTGCAGGTTGGCTGATCAAGATGACACTGAGTAACCCTTCAGAACTAGATGAACTAATGAGTGAAGATGCGTATGAGAAATACGTAAAGTCTATTGAAGAGTAAAAGTAGAACCCTTAAATAAAGTAGTGTAAAGCAACTTAATCCAGGCATAGTTGTCTTAAATTAGTGGTTGATAGAAGACTGAAACGGCAACTTTTAGCAATACCAGTGGGAAAAGAAACGACTCTGAACACCACTACTGGAAAGAAAAACCCCTTAACTTTCTAATGATCATATTTTTAATAAACACAAAATGTATCTTTTTCACAATATTCTATGATTCTTAGTCTATGAGCACAAGTATTTGGAATTCATGAAATTATCTGTGATTAAAAACTAGTTATAAAAATGATGTAATTAGTGATAATACTGTTCGCCTAAGCCTTACAGAACACTGTGTAACCATCCCTGGATGTGGGTCAGAATACTTCATTTCCTCCCCATTGGAAATCAGTGGGAGTGGAGCAAAGTGTTTGTTAGTTGTATAGTGTTAAAGAGCAGTACTATTGTAGTTACCCCATATACTGCATTTGCTGGTGCTATTTTATACAGTTGAAGCAACAGCTTTGCAGCAAAATAAGACATAATAAAGTATTCAATTCCTCCATTAATCATGTTTTTTGTTTTGTTAATATTTCATTTAGTGATTCTTGTTAGTGTTTGTGAAAATGCTGATTCTAACTTAAGGAAAGGTATATTTTCCAAAGAACTTTAAACCATAAATTGAAAGGTTCTCCAAAGAACTTTAAACCATAAATTGAAAGGTTCTAGGAAAATGTTTTCTTTTAGTCACAGACTGGTTTTCTCCTTTTTAAAAAAGTTTATTTTGAGAGAGGGAGGAAGAATGAGAGAGAGATACAGGCACCCCTGATAGGGCCTCGGTCCCTCCCTGCCTGTCAGTCTGCCGGGATTGTGGACATGCCCCTACGTGTTTGGGCTGGCCTGGGATCCAACCTGGTGCCTTCCTATATGGCTCCAGTATTGTGTAGCAGCACCCTATTGTCTGTGCCACCGTGACTGGACCGATAAATGATTTTTCTTAAAGATCTAATTGCCTGATAAGATTAAGCACTTATTTTTGTCATCTGTAATATAATCAAACAAGTCACCAGCTTTCTTTATCATTCTAGGTTAAAAGAGAAAAGAAAAAGAAAGGTGAAACTTTTGGTCAGCATAGCACGTGGTACTTTCTAAAAAAAGTATTTATTTAATTTTATTTATGATGATATTATTATTATTATTATTGACAAGAGAGAGAGGGAAAGTGAGAAAGCAAGCCACCAAGTCTGGGTATTGAACTGTGGTCAGCCATGTGGGAATTCAGTGCCTCAACTCTCAGGCCATCTGCTGGCCCCAGCACATGGTACTCCTGAGTTCAGTTACAGTTACATTTCCACTTAAATAACGGGAAGAGAAGTAGAAACAGGATGGAGCGTTATGAACTTACTGACTTAGAAAACAAATCGTCTTCACAGCTTAAGCATATTCAGAGTGCCAAATGATATCTTCAAGTGGTTAATGTGGCATACTCCCCGAATTAGCCCATTGTAATGTGTTAATTAGGGGTGGAGTTATATATGCAGACAAAATATGTATCTTCTATCACAGGGGTCTCCAGCTCCCAGGACATGGACCCATCCTGGCTGGGGGCTGGGGTTGGGCCATTAACTGGTGTCGGTCGGTTCATGGGGCTGTGTAGTGGTGGTGGGTGGCAGGTGGGCGAGCAAGCTTGGTGTTTGCAGCCACTCCCCATCACTCATATTGCAGCCTGGGCTCCACCTCCTGTCAGATGAGCAGTGATATTAGATTATCATGGGAGCATGAACCCTACTGTGTGATTGTTTCATTGTATATTGCAGTGAGGTAGTGGAAGGAATGCGGTCTATGGTGGATGTGGTATGCTTGGGTCATCATGGGACCAAGCCCCTCACACCTGTCTGTGGAAGGAGGAATTGTCTTCCACAAGGCCAGTCTCTGGTGCTGGGAAGACGGGACTGCTACTTTACCATTTTCCTAGTTACTTTGGGAAAAGGGAAGTATTCAAATACTACTACCTTCTCATGGTCAATAAACAGTAACTATGAGAACTTAGAGGAACTAGGGAGGTAAGTGCTAGGAGACTGGCTGATGGCCCCAACAGTGCTGACCTGTATCTTTCACCCTTATCAGGAAAATATCCACTGTGTCCTTTATTTTTTTTGTGTAATTATGAATCAGGTTAATTAATCTGGCTGCCTGCTTTGAAGATGGGCAGAGATGAGTACTAATTACAGAGATTTGCTTTTTGTTTAGAAGGTACATATATATTCTTTAAGAGCCAGAGCTAGGGAGGAGACACACTCATTAGTACCCTGATTTCACAGATAAGAAAGGCTATAGAGGATGAGAGATGAGCTGTTAATAATTAGTTGAGTGTCTGAGTTGGCTCCATGACCTGGTGATTAAGGCAGTCAGATCCCACATGGCTGACTGCACTGCTTAAGTCTTAGATTTGGTGGCTTGAGAGGCATACTGGGTGCATGTGCATCCAAAATCCCAAAAGAAGGCAGAGTGGAAGTTCAGGGATTGTGGCACGATCATTCCCTATGGGAGCTGTTCCCTGCCTTGCAGGGGTCATGTCCCTCCTCATGGGAGATGGGGGAGGGAGTGGAAAACACCTCCCATAGCCAAAAAAACAAAAAACAAAAAACCAGATGTGGTCATGGTAAGGATTTTCAGGTTTCCTGGTCTGCTCATCAGTGCCTTAGCAGATGTTACTATAAAGATAGTTATATGGGAGTCTCGCCTGGTGGGGAAGGATGAATGTTCTAAAGGGGAGAAGTGGAAATTGCCATTCTAGGATGGAAGTACACCAGCAACTACAGTTTCTGAAAGAGGGGCACCTTTTCATTCTGCCATCCCTTCCCCAAAACACAAACTCTTGCTCTGTAACCCACTTACTTTTTTTTTTTTTTTGAGAGGTTTTTGCTATAGGGCGCGTGCGCTTGCCAGACAGACAGAGAGAGACATAGAGACAGAAAGCGAGAAATCACCCCCCAGGGGGGATGGTCATGCCGCAATCCCTTCTCCATTCTCCTCTTGGGATCTTGGGCACACACGCACACGTGCCGGGCGTGAGTTTTAAGCCACCGGGTCCCACATGGCGTTTTTCAAGCCTCTGGGTCTGGGACTGGAACCGCTGTCAGCCATGTGGGAGGCCAACATCTTAACCACTACACTACCTGCTGGCCCCAGCAGCTGGAACAATTTTGTGTTTTATCATTAAGCACTCCATTACTTCTAGGTTGTGAAGTATATTAGGCCACAAACAGTATTTTAAATAAAAAATAATAAAAAAACAGAAAAGTCATTCTAGAAAAGTACTTTCTTCCAACATCCCAGAATAATATATACATCATATAAAATTAGCTCCTCCATGGAAATATTTTTAAATTAGTATACTGTAAAAAAGCAGTAATACCTGGCTATTTTTCTGAATGCCTTCAATTATGGTGCTATTAAGAACTTATATTTGAATCTTTTTCCATGGCAGACACACTTTCTAAACTAGAAAGGAGAGGAGGGACTGTAGAATTAGACCTGAGTAGGAGTTGTGACTCAACTACCCCTTAATGCCGGACTTGTTCCTACCCTGGCTGCACTGTGGGCAGCTCAAAAGTACCAGCATCACTCTAGGAGTGTTACCAAACCTAAGGAGTGAAACTTGCTTACCCACAACCAGTTCCAAAACAGGTACAACCAGAACTTTTAAAAGAGGAAGACAGGAGGCAAGCTGTCAGATGCGTCTTCCCTAAGACCGGGACAGGTTAATATTGATGTTTATGTGTTTGGTGTTAGTATGAGAGGATAAGGACATTTTCTGATTGGTGGGCCTGTGCAGAAGGCCCTACATGCCTCTTTATACATGACATGTTCAAAAAATGGCAGCCTTAGCATGAGAAACAGGGTTCTTCTGGGCTTTTTAGGTTCCTTTGGGTCAGCAGTGCAGGCTGGATATCACCATCTTAGGTTTTTCCATCCTTTGCTAGTTCCCACAGGTTTCTGGGCAGCACAACAGAGCAACCCTATTGTAAGTAGCTTTGTTACTTGGGCATGATTAGGTGGAGTCTCCAGACACTGGTTGATCTGTATTACTACAAGTCTGGACGGTGGACGAGTGCCAGCTGGTACTGTCTGTGGGTTCGAACCACCATCGCTCCAATCAAACTACAATACCGGTAAGCCTTCCCATTAAGTTGTGGGTGTGGGTTGGGGGCACCCTAGCACAGTGGGGAAACGGAGTGATTCTACCCCAAGGGGGCATCTGGCAATGTCTGGAGAAGCTTTTGATGGTGGTCTGGCATCCTGGAAGGCACACGATAGCCTCAACAGAACAGCCAGCCCAAGTGTCTCGCGAAGTGATGCACTAAGCCTGCACAAGCAGTGGCAGTTGTGCAGGTCTTCGAGATACCACCCGGCAGCCCCACCGTCTACCCTGACCCCTCATTACCGCTACAACATACCGGGCGGAGCTGGCTCAGGGGATCGCTGCACAGCCCGGAGCTTCCACTGGGTGAGCGCGGGGCGGAGCCTGCCGGGAGGACGCCCCACCTGGACCGCGAGGCCAGCCTCCCGCGCGCAGCTTTGTTGCGCAGGGCTGCGCTGACGTCATTTCCGCCGCGGGGTTCCGAGGGCCCGCCCACCTTTACGCCCCCAGCGCCACCGTAACTTGGCAACGGCCTTGCCGGCGTGGGTCGGAGTAGTGCCTTAGCCCGCCGGCCGGGACTAGCGGCCCGGGGGCCTCCCACCTCACATGAGGGTGTGAGCGGCCGCTTCCCCGCCCCGGGGGCGAGGCCCCAGAGCACTTCGTGGGCGGCAGAGAGAGGCGCTGCCCCATATCAAAGGACGGGACCTTCCGAGGCGGGGAAGCCAAAGGTAGAGCGAGCGCGGACCGGGCTTCACCGCGTGGGCGGGGCCTGGAAGGCGGGTGGGCGGGGCCTGGGCGGGGCTCTCGGGGCGGGGCCAAGCGGGGAGCTCCGGGCGGCAAACCGGGGCGTGTTCCCGAAGGGGGTCGCTGTCGAAAGCAGTGCAGGCGACCGAGCGACCAGGTAGGAGCCGTTGGTGGGCCAGGAGGAGCCAGAAGAGAAGGAAAGGAGCCCTGTGGAGGGGAGCTGCAGGTAGAGCGCCGGTGCTGGATGGCATGGGCTTTGCTGTTGACTGCGCGGAAGACGAAGTTGCGTTACCGTTTTACTCCCGGTGCCAAGCCCTGAGTGGATTAGTGAATGTGAGTCATAAGAGGGGTAGAATTGGAGATTGGGGTGGGAGTAGATATGGACCTATCGCAGTAGGAATCATCCTACTGATAGCTTTTTTTTTTTTTGGAGAGGTTTTTGTTATAGGAGGGCAGACAGAAAACGAGAAATCACCTCCCCGGGGGGGATGGCCACGCCGCAGTCCCTTCTCCATTCTCCTCTCGGAATCTTGGGCATGCACGCGTATGCGCCGGCGTGAGTTTAAAACACCGGGTCTGGCTGGAACTCCAATCGTGGTCGACTACATGAGAGTCCAGTGACGTAGCCATTACGCCCACTGCTGGTACCCTCCCCCTACTGATAACTTAAGGCTCCATGTCTTGGTGGCATGTAATAAGCATAAGGTGTAGATAATTAACATGGGAAGATAGGATGTAAACTCTTGGAACTGTGAAGTTGTCCAAGTTGAGGGGTGCATGTTCCTAACTTTGAGTCAGAGGTTCAACTGCTTGTTCACTGTGTTCCAAAACTAGTTTGTGAATTAGGTTGAAGTCCCAACAGCATTTTCCTGTGAAAATGGTACTGCCAGTGATCATTGTGCCCGGGACAATCTTTACGCCTTTTTTTTTTTTTTTTTTTAATTTACTCTAGGGCGCATGCGCTTGCCAGAGTGAGAGCAAGAAAAGAAGTGAGAAAGCATCTCCCAAGTGGGGGGTGGTGGTCATACCACAATCCCTTTTCCTCCATTATGCTTTTGGGATTTTAGGCGGACATGCATACAAGCCCAGGGTGTTTTTCAAACTTCTGGATCCAAGACTCGAACTGCTCAGTGGATCATGTGGGATCCAGCCATCTCAACCACCAGGCTACCCATTGGCCCCAGAAATTTTTTTCTGCCTTCCATTTTAACCTTTTGTCCTTTAGGGACTCGAATTATATGGATTCTGGGCTGTTTAATATTGCTCCACAGATCTCTGAAATTCTGTTCCTTTTTAAATCTTGTTTTTCCCTATATACGTATATTTAAAGACAGTCTTGCTCTGTGGTCCTCATGCTCCAGCCTCCCAGCTGGGACTGCAGGCTAGTGCCACCACACTTGGCTCTTTTTTAGACAGGGTCTCACTGTGTTGCCCAGGACAGCTTTGAACTTGCAATCCTCCTGCATGAGCCTTCTGACTTGCTAGGTTTATAGATGCATACCACTGTCCTGGCCTTTAGGTTGGACTAGAGATTGAACCCAAGCCTCACATGTAGTCCCAGCCTGTGGAGCAGTGTCATGGCAGTATTTACCACTATAGCTTGGCCAGTCAATATTCTTTTCTTGGATAATTTCTACTGGTTTGTCGTTAGGTTTATGACTCTTCCTTTGTCATTTCCAATATGCTCTTTTACTTTTCTATTTTTCATTTCTAGAGTTCCCTATGTTTTCTTTATTCATTTAAAAAATTCATGATAGATTACATGTATGCATGAGAGAGGGAGAAAGAGAGCGAGAGAAGCACCCTCCACAGGGTCTGGTCCTGCTTCCATTTCTTTCCTCCATTTCTGTAGCCTATTGGGTCTTGGGCACTTGTGTGTGCCTGGCCTGTTTGAAGCAGACTGGGCTGGAGATTTGTAACATGGTCACCATGTAGAAGCCAGCTTCTCATAAGCAGTGCGTTACTGCTACACCACAGAAGTGGACAGTTTTCACTTTTAATAAGCGGTTTTTATTTCTCTACTAGATTTCCTATTTGTGAGTTCATTGTGATCTTATTTTCATGTATACCCCTGAAAATAGTTATCACTGGGGCCACCCTCACAGTGCAGCAGTTAAATGCTATGCATAGGGAGCCAGATCCCACATGGCTGTGGTTCAGAATCCTGGCTCTGGCAATTTTAAGAATACTCAGGTAGGGACCGGCAGGTGACGTGGTGATTAAAGACGCTGGGCTCCCACATAGCCAACTGCAGTTCAAGTCCTGGACCTAGTGACTTGCTTTCTCACTCTCTCTCTCTTTTGCTCTGTCCCACTCTGGTCAAATTAAAATAAATAAATAACATTTAAAAAAGAAAAAAGAATACTCCAGACATGTGCATGCATGTCCCAAATCCTGATGGGAAGGAGAAATGATGGAAAAAGGGTCATAGCATAATCACGCCCATGCTCATTGAGGGTACATCCTCTTTCTCTGGCTAGCATATACCTTCTCTGGCAAGTAAAAAGAGAAGAAAAAAATAGTCACAGCTGTAAAATGCTACGCTCTGAGAGGCTTACTCACATGGGAAGGTTCGAATTCATGTCAAGACACCTCCCTGAGTAAGCTGGGCAGGCATGTGCTTGTGCTCTAGGGCCGACCGAGGCTGTGGGTGGATTGAAGTGGTAAGATACTGTTGGGATTAGTGTCTCTATCTGCCTGTCTCACTCATGGAAAGCATTTTTTTTTTTTTTTTTTTTTTTTAAGTCATTATTGTTATTTTAAAATAACAATTTTAAAACCAGCAGGTGGTGTGGTGGTTGAGGGTGCTGGACTCTCACATGGTTGATTGTGATTTGAGTCCTGGACCTGGTGGCTTGCTTTCTTACTTTCCCTCTATCTCTCTGTCCCTTTTTGGTCAAATTAAAATAAATAAATAAATAAAGTTAAATACATTAATTCTTTTTTTTTTTTTTGGAGAGATTTTCGCTATGGGGCATGTGCGCCCGCCCGACAGACAGAGAGAGAGACATTAGAGACAGAAAGCGAGAAATCACCCCCCAGGAGGGATGGTCACGCCGCAATCCCTTCTCCTCCATTCTCCTCTTGGGATCTTGGGCACACACGTACAGGCACCCGGCATGAGTTTTAAGCCACCGGGTCCAGGACGCGAACCCCAGTAGACCACGTGGGAGTTCAGCGACATAGCCATTATGCTAACTACTGGTTCCCAAATACATTAATTCTTTAAAAAAAGTCTAGTTTGCTAATTCTAAGACTGGGTCATCTCATGGTGAGTGGCCTTTTGTTTCTTTGTGTGTCTAGTGGTTTTGGACTAAATCCTGGATAGTGTGAATCATACTGTAGAAACTCTGGATTCTGTTATGTTCCTCTGACATTTTTGTTTTTAGTTGTCAGAGGGCATGTGTAGTTGCCAGAAAGACAGAAGGAGAGGGAGAAAGCAGCCCCAGTGAGGCATGGTTACAACACAATTCCTTCTCTTTCATTTCTCCCTCTTCTTGGGGTTTGGGGCACATACATGTAGAAGTTCCTGTTTGAACACTCATTTTTAGTTCTCTTAGTTAAATTCTTATGAGCAGAATTACTGGGTATTTGGTAATTCAGTTTCACTTTTTGAGGAATTACCAAATTTTCCAAATTTTTTTTTTTTGAGAGGATTTTTGCTATAGAGCACATGCGCTCGCCCAAGAAATAGAGAGAGATGGAAAGTGAGAAAGTGAGAAATCACCCCCCTCTCTGGGGAGGTGGCCATGACACAATCCCTTTTCATCCATTTTTCTTTCCATCTTGGGCATGCATGCATGTGCGCTCGGCATGAGTTTCAAACCGCTGGGTCTGGGACGCAACTGCAGGAGCTCAGAACCTTAACCACTACACTGCCTGCTGGTATCTTCTCCTTATTATGATTATTTTTTTAAAGTTTTTGAGTATTTATTTTGGCAACCCCGGGTAGAGGTGTGGGAAGGATAAACTGATTGACTTAGTCTGTACCACATGCTCTACCAGCTTCCTCAGTTTATAGGTCCCCACGCCTGTATCAGGGATTAGGAGAAAAGGAGAAGGACGTGGAGACTGTGGTGCCTAGATCGCACACATTGACCGCCTGTTGATGTTAGCTCAGTATCATTTAGAGACTTCTGGAGTGAGGTGGTAGGGCTACTTGAGCATACCTTGCTTTGGCGCCCCATACCCCATCATGAGAGAGAGCCGGTGCGGACGTCTTCCTCTCCTCCTGTAACTAGATCTATTTGTCTTTGAGCTTAGCCTTACCTTTTATAATGTCATCAGTTGCCAATGGCATAATATGTATTCACTATCTACTACTGAGTGTGTCTTGAAGATATTTCATCTGAGGTATTGGTTATTTTTTAGTAATAGCTCATTTTTTAAAAAAAATTATTATTTTTTTTTCATTTGACCAGAGCGAGACAGAAAGAGAGAGAAAGGGAAAGTAAGAAAGCAAGCCACCAGATCCGGGACTCAAACTACGGCCAGCCACACGAGGATCCAGCGCCTTTATTTTCCATGCCACCTGCCGGCCCCAGTATTTCATTTTTAAAAAGAATTATTTATTTAATTTTATTCATTATTATTTTTAAAAATTTGACCTGAGGGACAGAGAGAGAGGGAAGGTGGGAAAGCAAGTTGCCAGGTCTGGGACACAAACTGTAGTTGGCCATGTGGAGTCCAGTGCCTTAACTACCATGCTACCTGCTGGCTTCCAGTATTGAATTTTTTTTTTTAATTAATATTCAAAACTACGTTCTGGAGACCAGCAGTTAGTGTAATGGCTATGTTGCTGAATTCCCATGTAGTCGACCTCAGTTCGAGTCTCAGTCCCAGTGGCTTAAACTTGCGCCAGGCGCATGTGCATGCGTGCCCAAGATCCTGAGAAGAGAATGGAAGAGAAGGGATTGTGGCATGACCATCCCCCCTGGGGGGTGATTTCTTGCTTTCTATCTATCTCTGTCTCTCTCTGTCTTTCTGGCGAGCGTACGCACCCTATAGCAAAAACCTCTCTGAAAAAAATAAACTAAGTTCTGTACAGAAGGTGACATAATGGTTATGCTGCTGGCCTCCCATATAGTAGACCACATTTCGAATCCCAAACCCAGCACCTTAAAATTCACACCGGGCACATGTACCTGAATGCCCAAGATCCTAAGAGGAGAAGGGATGGCGGCATGGCCATTTCCCCAGGGGGTGATTTCTCGCTTTCTGTCTCTCTGTCGCTCTCTGTCTCTCTGGAGAGCACATGCACCATCTAGCAAAAATCTCTCTTTAAAAAAAAAAAAAACTAAACTAAATTCAATCTGCATTTTCAAACTACAGGAAGAAGATGTTAAAAACTTTAAGCAACCATCATAGTAATGGATCTCTGTCTAAAAAATGAGACTGATTTGGAAGATGGTGGATATAATGAAATTCAAAGCACAGAAGAAACTGAACTAACCTTCACTTGTCCAGATGAAAGAAGCGAAAAAAATCATGTTTACTGTCTTCTCAGTATTAGCGACATTACATTTCAACAAGATGAAAGAGCCAATGAGTTTATTATTGGAACTGGATGGGAAGAAGCAGTGAGTATCTTAAATTAGATCGTTTTCCCTTTTTCTTTTTGGATTGCCGGAGGGGATGTGTGCTCACCAGAGAGACAGAGGAGGGAAAGGGGGAGAGAGAAAGCGAGAGGGAGGAAGTAACTCCCAATTAGGGGTCGTCACCACAATCTCTTCTCCATTTGTCCATCCTTTTGGGATTTGGGGCATTCATGTATACTCATCCAGTGTGAGTTAATGTCCGTGTTTGGATGTAAGCCTTTTCTTTTTATTTTTTTCCCCCAAAAGAGTTAGTATGACTGAAAAAACATATACTCAATGTAATTTAGAAACTCTTGTAAGAAGCATAAAATGGTAGTATGGGTTGAGTATCTCTAATTCCAAAATCCAAAATTAAACATTTGAGCCGCAACGTGATGCCACAAGTGGGAAATTACACACCTGACCTCATGTGACAGATTGCAGTTAAAATGCTATACCATAAAAACATTATATAAAATTACCTTCAGTCTATGTGTATAAAGTATATATAAAAAGCCAATAACTGTGTTTAGACTTGGGTCCTGTTCCTCAGATGTTATATATATGGACACTTTCCAAAATATGAAAGAAACCCAAGCTCCGTAAGTCTTCTGTTGTGAGAATTTCAGATGAGGGATGTTTGCCCGGTACCCGTTACTGGGGATTTATGCTCACTTAGCGTTGACCAGCACAGTTCTGATGCATCACGTGCGTTCATTCATCCAGCCTCTCAGGAGCTGTATGAAGTGGTATTCCTCCCAGCCTCACTTTGTGGATGGGTATACTGAGGTATCCAGAAGATGAGATAACGGGCCAAAGAACCGCAGCTGGCAAGTGCCCAAGGCAGGGCTCGAATCCAGGTCTTCTGACTCCAGAACCTGACCTCCTGGACTGCTGTGTTAGACTCCCTGAGAGAACTGAAGTTTCTGTCCTAGTGGTTCTACTCAGCCCTGTGGGTTTATTTTCTTTTTCCTTCCTTCCCTCCCTTCTTTCCTTTTTTAAGTTCATTTATTTCTTCATGAATGAGAGAAAGAGACAGTTACTCCCAACAGAGTCTTCGTTCTAGAACCCACCCCCCTTGCCAGTGGTCCTGGATGACATGCACATGTGCCGGTGTTGTGTTACCGTTGTACCACCACCTCGCCCTGTGGATAGATTTGTTCTTTTCGGATGTATTTTTTTCACTGTAGAAAGCATGTATGCACACATCAGGTAGGGGAAGAGAAACACCCTCATCAGGGTCTGGTCATGGTGTGGCCGCCTTCCCCAAGACCCTACAGCCTATTGGGATTTGGGATATGTGCATGGGTTGTTTGGTATTTGTGCTGCCACCCCTGCCACATTGGAGGGTTACCGGGCAGGGGATCCAAACCTGTGGTCAGCTGTAGTGTCCAGCATTTTGGTTCAGTAAACTGCAGACCGTGCCACAGAAGCTGGACCAGTTTGTTCTTAAGTTATTCTCAGAATCAGTAATAAAATCCTAAACTTAAAACTTGAAGGAAATTTTGTCTAATTCAGTGATTAAATGCAGGGTTGCCAGATTAAGCAAATGCAAACATAGAATGCCCAATAATTCTGAATTTCAGATAAACACCTAATTAATTTAGTCTAGGTGTGTCCTACATGTGATCTTGTATTTATCTGGCAATGTTGTTTCACTGGGGACCCTGGCAAGTTCAGCCAGGGGACTTAGGGTGTGGATGGAGCAAGGTGTTCCTTGGGGACACAAAACCTCTGCACCCTAACAGCTGTCTCTATTCATTGTTCTCCCTCCAGCTTCTCCAATCTCCAGGTATAGTAAAGAGACTCATGGTACAAGAAATTCTGGTAGGTGGATGAGTAGGAACAGTTTTGATTTTACTTTAATAGTTCTGAATTTTGGACCAGCAGGTGGTGTGGTGGTTGAGGTGCTGGACTCACATGGCTGACTGTGGTTCAAGTCCCAGACCTGGCGGCTTGCTTTCTCTCTCTCGCTCTCTCTGATGAGTGCATGTGGCCTATAGCAAATTTAAAAGAATAATAGTAGTGAATAAAATTAAATTAATAAAAAAGTTCCGAATTTCATATGGATATGAAAAGAAATATTGTCAGCACACCTAAGTGTCCATTTATAAATAACATTGCTTAGGATTTTGATATTAACAAATATGATCACAAATACTGTTGTATAGTATGAGGCTAACATAGGTATTAAAACTTTTTAGGGGGGACCAGCAGTTGGCATATTGGCTGTGTTGCTGGACTCCCATGTTGTTGACTGCAGTTTGAATCTCGGACCCGGTGACGTAAACTCACGCTGGGCACTTGTGCGTGAGTGCCCAACATCCCGAGGGGAGAATGGAGGAGAGGGTATTGCGGCATGGCCATCTCCCCTGGGGGATGATTTCTCACTTTCTGTCTCTCTGTCTCTCTCTCTCTCTTTCTGGCAAGCACACATGCCCTATAGCAAAAGCCTCTCAAAAAAACAAACAAACAGAAAAAAACTTTTTTTTTTTTTAAAGCTGAGTTGAGGGCCAGCAGGTAGCATGGTGGTTAAGGTGCTAGATCCCATGTGGCCAACTGTGCAGTTCAAGTCCCAGACCTGGAGGCTTGAAAAACATGCTGGGCACATGTGCGTGCATGCCTTGTGGCATGGCCATTCCCCTTGGGGAAGTGATTTCTAACTCTGTGATTTCTAACTCTCTCTCTCATCCTATAGCAAAAAAAACTAAAAAAAAAGCTGAGTCAAGGGCTGGCCCTATAGCCTATATGGCCAACTGTGGTTTGCATCACAGCCTCTGTGACTTGGAAAACGTACCAAGTGTTTGTAGGTGCATGGACAAGGGATTGTGGCATGACCATGCCCCATTGTGGGGGTACCTTCTCCTTCTGCCTCTCTCTGTCTCTCTCTAGAGTGACCACATGCACCCTGTACAATGAAAAAAAAGTGGGTCTGATTTAATAAAAATATGGGTGCAAATAAGACTGCCAAAATGGAGACGTGGCCGAAATTGGCAACTAGAGTTGGGCCCCTTGCCTAGTGAGTGACATGCTGCGTTGCTTGCAGGTCCAAGGCTGGGGAAGAGCTTCTCCGACTGCCTGCATCTGGCCAAGGAAGCGGCCAAAGAAGGCGAGGGGAGAAGGTGCTGGCGCTGGCTGCTTGCTCTGTGCCAGTCTCTCCCAAGTGAGCATTGAGGATAAGTCTCCAGAGGCTGTGGAGTCGGAGGTAGGGGCTGAGGCTGGCCCAGAGAAGGATCAGAGTGGTCCCTCCCAGACTCAGGGCTCCTCCCCAGACCCCAAAACTGCTTCCAGGGAGATAAACAAAACCTGCTTTCCCACATACTTTCCTGGACAGAAAAAAAGTCTGCAAATCAAAGAGTTTATTTGGTGCTCTGAAGACTGGGCCATCTCCGAGCCTCTGAGGGGCAAGGCCCCCAGGAGTCCTTGCATAGGCGCTGACAGAAGGGTCTCCATCTCAGATGCCCTGACTTCGAAGGCCCTCTTAGTTCTGCCTCCCCTGAAGGCTTCACCCCCAAATGCCTTGGATGTCCTGGGCAAGAAGAGTAAGAACTTCCTCTTACAGTCAGAAGAGAAGGTGCTGAATGTGGAAAAGGAAGAGTGTGTGACTGGTGTCCATGGAATGAAACTAGGTGACAGAAAAGCCATTGAGCTGGCCAAGCACCTCAAGGTCAAGGACTCGCCACCTTTCCCTTCCCCGGTGGCCCAGACATCCCTGCTGGCTGACGCTCAGCAGTGCCTCCTGCACTGGTCACTCCTGCCTGAGAAAAGCCTGGTGTGCCCTCCCAACCCGAGCAGCGTGCGCTATCTTGCCACCCTGCAGCTTCTGCAGAAACAGGGAGTGCAGAACTACAAAGCCAAGTTCAAAGCCAAGGAGCAGAGACCTGTGATCGTCCAAAAGCACATTCTCACTGAGGCCAAGCAGGAAAATGGGCCCCAAACTGTGGATTCCAAACTGTTCCCAAGCCCCCTTTTGCCATCGCTCACAGTGAGCAGGGTTGTTATTCCCATCTCCACCCACAGACTCCTCTGAGCCGTCACAAGAGTTCCCTGGGAGGAAGCACTGCGCGGAGGTCCTTAACCCTCCCTCTCTCCTCTCTCCCCTGATTCTCCTTTCTCTGTCTCCCTTCTCTGTCTCTCTCATCCTCTTTCTGTAGCAGAATCAGAGGAAGTCGCACCTCCCTGGATGGGTTGGGTTTATTCTCTACGACACCATTTTATCTGTTACCTGCTTCTGCCGCTCAGCTCTCCGCAAGTGCCGGCTGGTAATGCCTGTCTGCCTCTGCCTGGCTTTCCTCTACTCCCAGCGGGAGGAGCTGTGTGGAAGGTGGGGAACCACGGGGCCTCCCTAAGGCAGCCTGCAGCCGTGTGGCAGGGGCTTTTTCTGCCCCTCCTCAGTGCCATAAGCACGCTGGACTGGTTTCTGCCAAACTGCTTCCTTAACCAGGCAGTCATCTATCTGCTGCTTCATTTCTTTCTTGCAACAAAGATCTGAAACATGGCTTTAATAGAAAACTCCAGGCTGTGTCTAAGTGAATGTCCTGCGTCCAAAATGTCCTACCTGTGGGTACGCGCTGCCCGTCACCTCTCACGTGTCCAGGGTGCCGTATCCTCATGCCCATGAGTATGTGCTGTCCATCACTCCCGCATGTCGGGCGTGCTGTGTCCTCACATGCCTGGGGGTGTATGCTGTCGGTCACCTCCCATGTGTCCAGCTTGCATGATCCCCACATCATACGGTGGGTATATGATACCTGTCTGCTCCTGTATGTCCAGGGTGCCAAGCCTCGTTTTACTGTCTTAATCTCTAAGTGTGAAGGTTTTAGCCATAGTTATCAAAATCCTGCCTGGAAAGCAGGTTTAAAAAAATTCCTTTTTTTTTTTAAATGTCATTGTGATTATTGCCATTTTATATGTTTTCTCTGGCCTTTCATTCTGGACGGGAGCTGTTACCATCTCCCGCCTGCCCTCTGCCCTCATTTTACCCCAGTGCCTGAGGTTGTATATACATTAAACATTTGTAAATGAGTTATATTTTAGATGTCAAGTGATGTTACTGTACAGACAAATGCTCTGACATACCGTTTGTAATATGAGTGGCCATTAAGCTACTTTCTAATGACCTAGTTTGTATTTGCGCTGTTCCTGGACTCCGGGCGTTCTGTTTTTAAATATCTGTCTCCCTTAATTGATCTTCATAATGTATTTTAGCCTAGGTTTGTTGTATTGATTTATTTTTATTTATTTATTTAGTTTGCTATAGGGCACATGCACTCAGTGGAGAGAGACAGAGAAATAGATAAGAGAGATGGAAAATGAGAAAGCACCCCTTGGGAGGATGGCCATGTCACAATCCCTTCTCTTCTTGGGGTTTTGGATATGCATGCACACGTGTGTGTGCACAGTTGGCCATGTGGGATCCAGTCACCTTAACTTCTGTGCCACTTACTGGCCTCATTGTTGGTTTATCTTTAAAATACCAGAAACGTGGGGCTGGCAGGTGGCATTGTTGTTAAAGGTACCATGATTCAAGTCCCGGACCTGGCAGCTTGCTTTCTCACTTTCTCTTTCTCTCTCTGTCTCTGTCTGGCCAAATTTTAAAAAATAATAATAGGAAATGGAATTAATTGAATAAGTAATTCTTTTAAAAAAATCAGAAATGTTGGGAACCAGCAGTTGGCATGGTGGTTAAGGTGCTGGACACTCCCACATGGCCAATCATGGTTTGAGTCCCAGACCTGGTGGCTTGCCTTCTCACTTTCCCTCTCTCTCTCTCTTTCTGTCTCTCTCTGGTCAACTTAGAATAGATGAATGAATAAATAAATAATTATTTTTAAAAATTCAGAAGGCTTTTAAAAAAATCAGAAATGCTGGAATGGCCAGAGTATAGTAGTCATTAGCAGGTATATTTGCCTGTTGGGGTGGAATACTTGTTTACAGGCTGAAAGCAATATTTAGGGTTTTCCCCCCTTTCTCTCCTGAAAAAAGAAAACATCTGGATTCTGGCCCAAAGAGGAGGCCTAATTTCTCACTGCTTTTGGATAGTGGGTTTAGGACCCATTACCATTTGAGGACCGCCTGGCTCTGGCAGCCTGCCTGCCCACATCAGTGCAGAGTGACAGACATGCTCAACATGTAGGACAGGCAGAGCATTTGCTCGGCACCAGAAAGGGCCAGGCCACACCTACTCAGCCTGAGGTACTGAGATTCTGAACACACATAGGGGCCAGCAGTTGGCGTAATGGCTGTGTTGCTGAACTCCCATGTAGTTGACTGCAGTTCGAGTCCCAGACCTGGTGGCTTAAACTCAAACTGGGCGCATGTGCGTGCGTGCATGCCCAAGATCCCAAGAGGAGAATGGAGGAGAAGGGATTGTGGTGTGGCCATCCCCCCTGGGGGTGATTTCTTGCTTTCTGTCTCTCTTTCTGGTGAGCGCATGCACCCTATAGCAGAAACCTCTCTCAGAAAAAGAAAGACATTAAATACACACACATAGGGGCCAGCAGTTAGCATAATGGCTATGTCGCTGTACTCCCATGTAATCGACCACGGTTCAAGTCCCGGACCTGGTTGCTTAAACTCATGCTGGGCATGTGTGCGCACGTGCCCAAAATCCCGAGAGGAGAATGGAGGAGAAGGGATTGTGGCGTGGCCATCCCCCCTGGGGGTGATTTCTTGCTTTCTGTCTATCTGTCTCTCTCTGTCTTTCTGGTGAGCGCACGTGCCCTATAGCAAAAACCTCTCAAAACACACACACATAGACACACACACACAATGCATGTTTGTTTTTAATTTGTGAGAGGGCAGAGAAGAGAGAGAGTGAGAAAGCACTCCCGTGGGGTGTGATCATGCTACAACCCATCCTCCTCCACCTCTCCTGGTTTTTGGGGCATTCACACATGTACATGTAAGCTGTGTTTTTTAAGCCCCTGGGTCTGAGGCATTGAACTGTGCAGTCGCCCATGTGGGATCCAGCTGCCTTAACCACCAGGCCATCAGCTCACCCTTATGAATATATTTTTAAGGAAAAAAATCAGTCATTCAAATGAAAATAGTAAATGCTACATATTTTAGTGTAAGCATATAATAATTTAGAATTAAAGGGCCAGTTTGAAGAAAGGAAAGGCCCCAAATTATTGTTTGTAGTATTCTTTTTGGGCAGATAATTTATTTAGCCAGCAAACAATTGACTAGAAGGTTCTTCTGTGAATAGGTTAAGAATGCTTTAGGGACCAGCAGTTGGCGTAATGGCTATGTCGCTGGACTCCCACGTAGTCAACCACGGTTTGAGTCCCGAACCCAGTGTTTTAAACTCACACTGGGCGCGTGTGCATGCGTGCCCAGGATCCTGAGAGGAGAATGGAGGAGAAGGGATTGTGGCATGGCCATCCCCTCTTGGGGGTGATTTCTCGCTTTCTATCTCTCTGTCTGGCGAGCGCATCCTATAGCAAAAAACCTCTCCAAAACAAACAAAAAAAAGAATGCTTTGTATTTGGCACCTCTTGGCTTAGGTAATTAATCAGGCACATGAAATGTCCCTCTAGAACCTTACTTTCCTTGATGCAGATGAGCTCGTTTCTCTGGATAAAGCCACTCTGAGCCCTGTCCCAAGGTGCACACATAATCGGCTCTCGACATCCAAATTGTCCTGTGAAAAGTGCAGTTCACACTGGGATTCTGAGTCACTAATAGGACTTTTTTTTTTTTTTTTTTGAGTTAAGTGTGTTTCAGTGTAGGTGTCAACAGCCTCTTGCTCCCTCATGGCAGTGGTCCCACCTAGGGTTTGCTCCCTCTAATCTTTTCCAAACCAAGCATGGGGAGCTCCATGTATCATTCCTCCTTCTGTTATTTTTGGGTATCTCATTAGTAAAACTTTTCCAAACTCCTGCTTTTCTTGAAACCTTAAAAACCAATTGGAAATCAAGCAGCACCCAACACAGGATTCCCACAGGGCCCAAGGTCACTTGTTGGGTGAGTCTGGGGCCAAGGCCTGGGGAGCCTGCTGTGGGCTAGGTGAGGGATCTGAGCGGTGGGAACTTTCCCCTCTCCCCAAGAGACAGAAGTAGACCTTACAGAGACATGAGGAGTGACACTTTTGAGGGGCAAGGGGAAGACTAAATCAGAATAAGGCCTAAATTTGGGCAGGTTTATAGCCTTTGGCTACTCTAAAAGACATTCCCGAGTTTTTAGCTTTATTCTTTTTATCCTGAATTTTAACCCTTGTTGTGAAGTGCACCAGTACCTCAAAGACTCTGCTATACCGTGACTTGAAATCAGAATTAAATTTGCTTCAGTCTCCTTTCTAGGTTCAGGAGTTTCCAGCCCAGAGAGACCATAGAAGCCCCAGTTCATCTCACTGTGGGCGCCCCCAGCTGGTCTAGCTGCGCAGCTGTAGGCCTCACATCAGGGGCTGTTCAGGAAGTCTGGGCTTGAGTAAGGTGTAGCCTTGTGCTGGAGTTTAGGGGATACTGATAAGCCAGGGAATAAAGAAAGGGGGCTTCTTTTTTTTTTTTTTTGGAGAGAGATTTTCACTGTAGGGTGCGTGCGCTCGCCAGACAGATAGAGACATAGAGACAGAAAGCGAGAAATCACCCCCCAGGGGGGATGGTCACGCCACAGTCCCTTCTCCTCCATTCTCCTCTCGGGATCTTGGGCACGCACACACACGCGCCCGGCATGAGTTTTAAGCCACCGGGTCTGGGACACGAACCGCGGTCGACTACGTGGGAGTCCAGCGACATAGCCATTACGCTAACTGCTGGTTCCCAAGAAAGGGGGCTTCCTGACCATTGGAAGACAAGGTTGGCCCCTGGTACCACAGGGACCACTGTCCTGCTGTTTGCCAGGCAAACTGGGGCTGCGGGAGCCAGAAGAGAATTCATCACCATGCTCTTGATTACCAAGCTAAATTCAGTTCTAATAGCCAGTAATGTGATAAACCATCGCTTTGGACTTTACAAGGTTTCATTCTTTCTGAGAATCCAAAGCCTATCCCCGGGCTTTATCTCTTTTTATCCTAAGCCTATGCATGACAATCTGGGATCATTTTTTTACTCCTTTGACACAGAAATTGATAGTAGAGGGACTGAATTCGGTCTAGCCAGCTTAGTGTCTATAGCCTGGATGTCTGAAGGCTCAAATGTATCTCACAGGCAGGCAACATTTGGAGTACTAGATAGAAAACATACAAAGCAGGAAGAACTGAAGAATGTCGTCTTTCTCAGAGATGGGGATAACTTTCAGACATAGCATGTGGTAAAGATAATCGGTCATATATGTTAAAGTCCAACAGAGATTTCTGTTTTTCCTGAGTGTCCTCATCAGATCAAATGTAGAGCTTGGTATTTCTCTCTAATGAATTGACTAGCTGTTCAAAATTGTATGGAAATACTGTAGGTGTGCATAGCTGTCATTTGGACTTTTAATGGGTTGTTACTCTAATTGCTAGAAGTTGCTTATGCTCACCAGAGAGAGACACACAGCCAGAGAGAAGTGAGAGAGAGTGAGAGAGCACCCTCCCCCAGTGGGTCATGGGCATGCCACAATCCCTTCTCCAGTTCTCCATCCCATCAGAATTTTGGGCACACGCACACACACGCACTCTTGGTGTGTTTTTCAAGCCGATGGCTAAGATTCCAACCATGGTCAGTCATGTGGGATCTGGCTTCTTTAACTGTGCTACAGGGCTGGCTCATTGGGTCTTTACTCTTTAACTGGCCTCAAAACTTACCTTTGTAACTTGTCAACCAAGGCTCTTTTCTTGGGTCCCTGTCAGTCAGTACATGAGCTATGATAATTCCTTGGCCTTTTCCTTCATCTTTAAAAAAAATTTTGTCAGAGGGCATGTGCACTCACTGGAGAGACAGAGAAATGGGGAAAAGTGAGAAAGCACCCCTCCCCGCTTTGGGAGATGGTCATGCTTCAATTCTTTCTCTTCCATTTCTTCCTTTTTTTGTGATTTTGGGCACACACACTCACATGCCTGGCATGTTTTTCAAGCCACTGGGTCTGGGATTCCAATAGGGCTGTTGGCCATGTGGGATCCAGCTGCCTTAACCATCAGGTCACTGGCTGTCCCCCTGTCCCCTCATTTTGTCTTTCCTGCATTCTACTGTACTGGTCTAATCACCATGGCTCTGTAGATTAATCTTGCAGTACTAGATGACTGTGGACTGATTATGTATCATCTTGAGGTAGCCTATGAAATTTACTTTTGGGGGCCAGCAGATGGAGTAGTGTAATCACTAGACTTCCATATGGCTGACTGTGGTTCAAATCCGGGACCCAGTGGCTTGAAACCGATGCCAGGCGTGTGTCCATGTGTGCCCAAAATTCTGGGAGAATAGAGAAGGGATTGCAGTGTGGCCATCGCCTCTGGGCAATGTTTTCTCACTTTCCCTTTCACTGTCTCTCTCTAGCGAGTGCACATGCCCTAAGGCAAAAACCTCTACGATTATTTATTTTTATTTTTTTACTTTTGAAGTTCCTTCTTCCAGATCAAAGCTACTGTTCAGTTACACAATACCTTCTTCCAGCCCATCAGATACTGGGAACTCACACACACCTGCTATGTTTCAGGTTGACCAGGCCCAGGCTTTAGGCCGTGGTCGCCTTTGAGAGCCAGCTTCTCTTGGGTGGAGCATTACTGCTGTGCTGGCCTCTGACTTTTAAACAGGAAAGCTATTGAGGATAGTTGTAATGGTTAAATAATCCTTTTGTGATCATTCAGATGAACTGCCTTTTGCCAAATTTGTATTGTAGCATGGGTTCTACATTTTTCCCAAGTCATCAAATTTCTTGTTACAGTGCAGAAGAAGGAAGATAAAGTAGGAGAGGAATCAGTGTTAAATTCAGTCCTAGGCAGCAACATGTTTGAGATGCAATCATAAAATCAAATAATGCATCTAGGACATGGAAAAAGCAGGGGTCACCAGACAGAGAGTAAAAAGCTACAAACAGCAAGCTGTGAGGTAAAGCCAAGCTTGGAACAAAGTCTTGTATATACCTACCAAGCTAATAAGCACACCTCTTTAGGCCAAAAAGTCTTTGTTCATGTTGAGGCAATAGATTGGGTTATTGGAAAAGTCATGACATATTTTTCTTGCAGCCTTATATCCTATAATATAAAGTACCAAAAGATAATGGAGGACCATAGCAGTAAGTTTCTCATAGGCTAACCCTCACTATTTTGGAATTTGTGAATTTGGAGCAAAGTTTTGTTACTTATTGGTAAGATGATATAAAATGCATTTTTCTTGAAATTTGTTGAATGAATATTAGTAAATATTAGTAGACTTCCAGCTCAAGTTCTATGTAGACAATGCCACTTTTATTCAGTTTGACCTTGCTCCTTTCAAACATGCTTATTTGTTATTCTTATTTTGAAACACGGTGCACATGTTAACATTTGAGAAAGCTGACAACTTGAGATCCCTTTCCGTTAGTTTTTCCTTTTTTTTTTTTTTCTGTTTTGCTATAGGGCATGTGTGTTCACCAGAGAGACAGAGTGTGAGTAAGAAAGTAGCCCCTGGGGGATGGCCATGCTGCAATCCCTTCTCTATTCTCTTCTTGGGATCTGGGCATGCATGCACATGTGCTAAGAGTGTTTTTCAAGCTGCCAGGTCCAGAACTTGAACCCTGAAGTCTGCCATGTGGGATTTAGCCGCCTTAACCACCATATCACCAGCTGGCCCTGTTTGTTCTTTAGCCTCTCTCCTAGCATATAAAATTAACGTATCAGTGTATCTGCTAATAAATACAATTCAAATAACTATGGAAATCTTTTGGATTTAAACATTGCAAAACAATGTCATCTTGGTCAAAAGAACATTTTACTGATCAATAGCCTGCTGAAGAAATTATATTAAAATTCCTGTCATTTAGCAGGAGTCATTTAGATGTCAGGAGTATGAAGGGGCATGTTGTTGTCTCCTATTGTCTAATCAGTGGCATTTCAATACACCTCAGATGATAACACAGATACCCACACAGAAGGAAAATAAAAGTGCATTATACTTTCCTTCAAAGGGCTATATCCCCAAATCCAAGGTTACATGTTCCATCTCTTCAAGGGCCTTCACAGGGCAGGTCTGGGTGGCACGGCTTTAAATATACCAGATATAAAGTGGTCTTTGGGGGGCCAGCAGATGGTGGAGTGGTTATGTCACTGGACATGACTGACTGCAGTTCGAGTTGACCTGGTGCCTTAAAACTCATGCCTGGTGTGTGTGCGCATGCTTGCCCAAGATGAAAATGGAGATGGGCCGGTGGCATGGCCATCACTCCCGGGGGATGATTTCTCACTTTCCCTCTCACTGCCTGTCTCTCCAGCGAGCACACGTGCCCTATGGCAGAAAAAAAGTGGCCTTTGGAGTCAGTGTTAGATAGCAGATTTTCATGAGATTTGGATTGGAATGAATACATCCTAAAATTGAAACCATAAAGGATTCAGTGAAAACAACTGTTTCTTGCCACTCTTAATATAAGAAGTTACTTCTCCACTTGATTGGATAATTATTTTCTTCAGATCAAAAGTAGCTTTAAACCTTATTCAGCATCTTTTGGATTCATCTGCAAGAATTTTTCTATTTTCCCTTTACTTCAGAAACACAGTTCCAGGCTGTTCTATCATTACTAACTGCAACACCTGAAAATGGATGATTCGAGAGAACGGAAGTTTAATCAACTCACAATCTGAGAGCAAAGGTCCAGGGGTTGAATCTGGGGAGGGTCTTCCTGCTGGTGGGTGAGATGGCAGACAGCGTCTGAGCCCATGTGTGTCTCATCTTTTTTTTTTTTTAAATATTAGTTTTATTTATTACCAAATTTGACCAGAGAGACACATACAGAGAGTGAGAAAGCAAGCTGCCAGGTCCAGGACTCAAATCACAATCAGCCATGTGAGTCCAGCACCTTAACAACAATGCCACCTGCTGGCCTTATGTCTTATCTCAGGGGTCCTATCCTAATCACTTCCCAAAGATCTCATAATTGGACCAAGTGTCCACACTCCCATAGTTACAAAAGCTCACCAGATGTTAATGTGAATTTTGGGGTACACAAGCCAACCATAGCACAGGCACTGATCTGCTTTCCTGCAAGTAGTCATGTTTGGCAAATGCACTAATTGGAACCAACTCATTGGCTAAATAAACACTTTAATAAATTAAAAAAAAAAAACCTGACATTTATAGTTTATCTATACTGAAATATAAATTGTGGCAATAAGTTGTCTTTTCTAGGAAAACTGTTAGCATATTTTTATGAACAAAGGGAAGACAATACTACAAACCACTGGGTCCAAGCTTTATGTTTTGTGACTTTCAGAAGATGAGTTTGAAAAGTTTAGGCAACATTAAGTCACATTATGAGTAGGTTGAAGAATTCACAAAAAGGTAGAATTCTAGCTTCTCTTTAATCATTGAATTTCGGCATTTACAAATAATCTTAGAACAATTCAAATAACTGAGGTTTTGGTGGCAAATAGTTCTCATACATGAATATTACATGCTTCATTTTTCTGTAAGTAACTATTGGCTGAATCAACAAAAGTCACTGAAACACATTTTCTTTATAGCTGCAGATCACTGCATTTATATTTACAAAGAGCCATAAGTAAACATGCATTTCTCCTTTACTAGGAGAAAATAAATATATACTTGGAACATTAAGGCAGTGATGATTCTAAAACACAATGGAATTCTAAGTTAAGGCTTTATGTTTATTTTGGAATCCACATTCATAGGCAATTGTGACCAAAGCCAACTTTCATCTACTTCGGCGGATGCGGTATTTGTGAGCAACAGTTCTGCCTCAGGTGTATGGGACGGGAATTGGTAACACCACCATCAATTTACTTTAATGAATCATTAGTTCCCTTCTTAGGTTTTACTTTGAGGGTTTAGCCTCTGGCAGAAGTGTGTCCCACAGAAAGAACAGGGTATTTTTTGGTAAACCCACAAAACATACAGGCTGCATTGACTTACTTGCCTAGAAGGTGGCTAACAATTAAGAATCCAGGATTTCCTAAATACAAAAACTCCAAAGCCCACCTGACTTGCCTCCCATCTTGAAACAAAATTCCTGATTATTGATGCAATAGATTTTTAACCATTTTCTTTGAAGCAAACTGTTCTGTGTTACTCTCTTTAAAGATAATAAAGCAACAAAACACAATGTATTTTAGATGCATCTACTCTAACTGCTCACCTTGAGGCAGATAATCCTCGCTAGGCCAATGTCTTTCCTTATTCAAGCAAGAGGTGATGAATGGAGTAGTCACCAGAAAGTAACTGTCGATTGCACTCTTGCCCTGTCAAGCTTAGTCGAAATCTAGGGGTGAGGGAGGTGTCCTTTTCTCTTTCCAGTTTTTCTTCTCTTTGAACATTAGAGTGGCAAGACTCACTTCAGCCTATGGGTGCACTTTGGGAAGCAGCTCTGGAGCCCGCTCTGGCCTGCCGTTGAGAGCATGGGCCACACCAGGATGAGCTCAGAGGCAGGATTCTACACCCCATGCACCCAGAGTCTGGGTGACTTACTCATTTAGAAGGATCACTATACTAAATGCTTTCTTTAGGCAGTAATTTTACAACAAACCCCTCATGAGGAAAGTGCTGTCCACTAATGCTGGTATCAACAGCTCACATAGGGAAGGGATGGCATGGAGCACACATGCAAACTGCTTTAAAAGTTAAAGATAGCTGTAGTTGTCCTTAGCGTCTTTGAATCAGAAGAGACGTCAGAGCGGATTAAGCTGCAGGCAGGAGGAGTCTCAAGCCACAGAAACACTACTGTTGAAATCTGATGGTGGCAGCAGGAAAGAGGAATTTCTAACACGCACTATCAAACATATTTTAGGGGCAATTTAAGTATGTTACACTTCAGCTAAAATGTTTTGGATATTTGAAAGGCTTGTACACTAGTTTTTGGTAGGCCTGGCTTCAGCTAAATGGCTATACAGGTTTCACAGCTGTTTTTTAAAGACAGAAAGACTAGTTGTGAAAGGGCAAATGTAGGCAACACCAAAACAGTATTTTCAGGTCAACATCTGATACTTTATAGTACGTTTACATTTATACACAAGTTTCCTGTTTACAAGTACAAAAGGCAAAGAACCAAGAAGAATCTAAGTAACCGCATCATCAACTACATTCAATTAATACTGTTGTCTCTGCTCCCCATTTTCTAAATCCAGAAGGAAATGTAAATGCTGCCCCACACAGACTCAGCTTTTAGAAGTTGGATACCGCGTGCAGTTCAGCACAGGTCTGGGTTTCTACAGAGCTGAACTGAGACTCCATCGTGTTCCAGGCCAGGTCGGCCAGTAGAAAGTCATCCATTGCTGTTTGAGTTTCATTGCTGGTGAAGAACAAGCTCCCCAGGGTTTCAAAGCCAGAACTCATGGTCTGTGTTTCTGTACTGTTGAGCTGAACTTTGCTTTCCAGAGCAGGTATGTTTTTAGCAGCAGTGATTCCATCGGTTTGGGTCTCTGTGTCAGATGAGTCAGTACTCATTGAGAAGCTGGAGTGTTTCAGGATACTCCCCAGAGGCAGATGAGGGCTACTGTCCAAAAAGAAGTTTAAGTCTGTCTGTGTCTGCGTGTCAAACATCTCAAGACCTAAAAAGTTCGAATTTCCCCGACACCCATAGGACTGAGCAGAGGTGTCTGCAAGGAGAAAGTCAGTTTGAGTCTCTATGTCCAGTGATTCTAAGACAGGCTCAGTGTTCATGGTGCTAAGTTCACTCTCTTCAGTTTGAGTCTGGATATTTGAGGCTGAAAAGAACTCTTCAATATCAAAATCTATTCCAGGATTCTGGGCTGGGCCAGATGGGAGCTGGGTGTCAGGTCCAGGATTTGTGTCAGATAAAAGACTACGATTATCTAATGTCTGACCAGGCAGATTACTTGACAAAATGTTTTCTAAATCGCTCAGTAAATCTATGGTTTGGGTCTGATTATCTGTCATGTTCTGTGAAGGAAGCATGCTATTTGGCGCACTGAAATTTATAATTGGTGCAGATTTTTCAATGTCTTGATGTAACGTCTTAGGGTCGTTTGGAGATAACAAACCATGAGTTACCGTCTCTTCTACCAAACTGTTGCCTATAATATTCTCTGTGGGAACACTATATGATGAATGGACACTCTCAAAAATGTCACCACACACCCCGGCCTGGTCCATCTGGGTGTGGCCGTCTGTTAGACATTGCATCCCAGTGGTCTGTGTTTCTCTGGAGATTCCACCTGACTGGAAACAAGGGGCTACAAATACATCAGTCTGAGCAGCTATGGATGAAGTTACCTTGGAGCTGGGCAAAAACGTCTGGGTGTGTACACTAATGGGGAGGGACACTTGAGAGTCAAATGACAGATCGGTCTGAGAACAAGACGACACAGAGGAATCGGAGCCAGCCCACGGCACAGAAGGGGTAAAGTTCTGAGAGGCGTAAGACAGATCTGTCTGCACGTTGATGGAAGAAATGCTGTTCTTCTGACATGTGTTTCCGATTTCTGGTAAAGGATGAGATGGAGTTTTACCCAAGTTCACTTGAACACCTGTGCTGACTGGCTCCACAGCAACAGGGTTTATAATTTTTGAGAGAGAAAGGCTCTCCTTAGGGGGGCAAGCCTCGGAGTCTAGGCCGAGGATCAAGGTTCCTACTGACAGGGGCAGTAAGTGCAGGGCACCTGTGGCAGAGCCCTGATCAACACCTAGCACCACAGGCTGGGCCGGGGAGTCAGCTGTAGGCACAAAGACAGGCACCGGAGAAAACTGCATAATGGGTAGCTTAACCAGAGCCACTTTGGGCTTTGGTAAAAGCAACTTTTGAGGGTATCTTGGAGGTGTTGTATGAGTTGGCTTTCTGACATTAGAGCCGCAAGAGTCTTCAAAAGAAGCTACTAGCTTGATTTCTGAAGTTCCCAGCTCTTGGGTATCTGCTCTAGGGGCTGGCTGGTGGCTCAATGATTCAATGGTCTTACTAGATAACTTCTGGTTTTGCAGGCAGTTTTCCATTTTCCTTTTTTTACTAGGTGGATCCCTGAAAACAATGACAACAAAAAGAGAGAAACAATTTTAAAATGCAGCTTTCTTCACCATGAATTGTATCTTCACTCATGCATAAATGCTATTTCCCACACCCACCGTATAGGTCAGATTCAAGCAGGGAAAGATGTCCCTACATTTGCAGTTGGATGTTCAAAAACATCCAAACAGGCATGAAGCAAGCATACATATTCTTTCTTTCTTTTTTTTTTTTTTTTTAAGCTCTAAGTACTAGAACTCAACTTATTGGGCTGTTGGAAAAGTCATGATGCATTTTTGCATAGAAAAATGTAGAAAAAAATGTATCATGACTTTTCCGACAACCCAACAGATATCTAAGTATAGGTAGCTAAAAGATTTATTTTAAATTTTTGCCAGAGAATGTATGCGCTCACCAGAGAGAGACAGAGAGAGGGAGAGGAAGATCCCCCCCATGGCAAATGATCATGCTGTAATCCCTTCTCCATTTCTCCCTCCTTTCAGGATTCTGGGTATGCATGCATGTGTGAATGGTGTGTTTCTCAAGCTGGCAGGTCCAGGATCCCATGGGATCCACCATGTAGGATCTGGTTTCCCTAACGAGTAGGCCATGAAGCCAGCCCCAGAAGCTGAGAAGATTTCTAAAATGCAGTTTTTATCATTTCTGAAGCAGGAAGCAATTATATCAAAATACAAATTGGACCTTTAAAATAAAGTATGTTTCATGACAAAACTTACTCTCCAGCAATTTAATACCCCTCTATTAGAAAATGCTGGAAGTTGAAATTTTTCAATGGGAATAATAAGGGACCTTTGAAGAGAGTTGGCAGAAAGAAAAAAGACTAACAGGGTCTAGATTTCAGCTCAGACATCGGTTCTTTGCCAGTTCTGCCGCCACTGCCAAAAACTCCCCTCTTCCTGCTGTGTGTTTGCTCCACCTTCCCATTTTCCTTCCCTGCACTGCCAGCTCTCCAGGAGTTTTACTTGACAGCTACTGACTTTCATGCCACCACTTCTCTCCCCTGACCTATGCTCTGCGGGGATCTCGTGGCCCGTTCGGTAGATGTGAGACTGCAGTGCCGTCCTGCTGGCATAGGGACAGCCACACGTGCACTGGAAGGTCTTGCCGCAGTCCTCTGCGTGCCTCCGCAGGTCCCACTCCGTGCCGTACGAGTTGCTGCACTTGCTGCACTTATGCTTCTTCTCAGCGTGCATTTTCATGAAGTGCTAGGAAGGACACAGGGACTGCAGTGAGAAACAGCAACATCCTCTAATGAACGATGAACTGACAGGTGTAAAATAGTGGTCCAAATGATAAGAAAGTAAAAGCTAGCAGAAGCAGGGAAAATGCAGTTTATCATAAGCCTTGTGTTCTCTTCTGTGAAAGTGGGGCGACTGCATTAAAATAAACACCTAGTACCCAGCTTTTAGGGTTTGATCTACAAGTAAGTTCCACAGACATAAAAATGTCTTTGAACGCTCTCCTCAGGACACCCTCCAGCAGACCCTCGGGGAAACAGTGCAGATGCCCAGCTCTTCTAGGCCCGAAGCACTTCTTTCCTGTCATTAAGCCCCTCTGTCCTCTTAAGAGAGCTGCTTCTCAAGTTTTCCTGGACTCACATGGCACTGCTCTCTGCCTTTGGAAGTGTAGAGATTCCCTGGAGGGCCACCAGCACGTGTTCTCATTCCTTGCTGAGGTGGTCTACTGCACTCCTCTCTGAGCTCACTTCTGGGCCCAATTCCTCCAGATCAAGCTGCACCACCTTCTACTGCATCACACCACACTCAGGTTTTCATGGCTGGGACAGAGACTTGGGTGTCTGTTCTCACAGTCAGCAGAATTTCTGCACAGTTTTTACTTATGCTCAGTAAGTAGTGAGAATGCACACCAGGTTTATACCAACTGTATTTCATCTTCAGAGAAATATACTCAAGACAAGTAAATTACCTGTTTTACGAGAGAAAATTGAGAAAATGGTCTGTCAGGGCCCCTAGGACATCCTTCAATTGGACAACAGTAGAATTTCGGTACAGTCTTCAAATCTTTTCTTATTGTTGGATTGACTATGCCATCCTGCAAAAGGAAAATTACTTTAATTATTTGAAGAAAAAAAAAAAAAGTACCACAGACTGGAGATGGAAACGGAATGATTGAAAACAGGCATAAGGGATCTTTTTAGAATAATGAAAATGTACTAAATAAGACTGTGATGGTTGTACAACTGTAAGTCTACTGAAAAAAAACTGAATTATTTACTTAAAATGAGTAAATTTTATAGTATATGAATTATAGCTCAATAAATCTTATTTTTTATCTATTAGCCCATAAAAACTGTATTATTTAAGATCTTACCTCCTTTAAAACTTTTTTTTTTTTTTTTTTTTAAATTTGCCGGAAGGCATGTGCAATTGCCAGAGAGAGACAGAGAGAGGGAGGAGAAGGAGAAAGCACCTCTCAACTGGGACATGGTCATATTGCAACTCCTTCTCCTCTATTTTTCCTTCCTGTTGTGATTTTTGGGCACTCACACAAATTCATTCTATGTGTTCTTCAAGCCACCAGGGCTAGGATTCAAATTGTGCAGTTAGCCATATGGGATTCGATCACTTAAGCACCAGGCCACAAAGCCAGTTCTAAAACTCTTGCTTCTAAACATAAAATCTTTGTCCTTATTAGAGCCAGCAGGTGGCATGGTGATTAAGGTGCTAGACTCCCACATGGCCAACCACAGTTCAAGTCCTGGACCTGGTGACTTGAAAGTCACATTGGGGGTTTGTGTGCACATCGCCAAAAATCCAAGGAAGAGAATAGAGGAGAGGCATGGCCATCTCCCGGGGGTGGTGGTGGGGGGTGATTTCTCACTTTCCCTTATACTGTCGCACTCTGCATTTCTCCACCAAGAGCATGAGAAACCTTTTAAAGGCAAAAACCTTAAAAAAAAAAAAAAATCTCTGCACTTCCTCAAGAATTGGGTACCACCTTTGGTCTTTGTTTTTTCCTTTAAATTGTTATAGGGTTATTGTCCTCACTGGTGAGATGGGGGAAAATTGGGGTGTGTGAGAGAGCATCCCTAAACCTCTGAGGAAACCTTTGTTTGTGACCCAGTACTACCTCACTCAGTAGCTAGTCAGCACTACTTTTACACTTTTACACGTAGTTTGATACAGGTATCATGCTGTTTGAAATTTAATAGTCATCACAGTGGCCAGTATTGACATAGCTTTTACTATAGGTTGGGTTCTAAACACTTTAAATGCATCAACTCACTTAATCCTAGTAACTATTTTTCCCCCCCCCAATGTTTGCTATAGGGTGTACACAATTGCCAGAGTGAGGGAAAGTGAGAAATCATCCTCCATGGGGGGATGGCCATACTGTAGTTCCTTTTCCTTCATTCTCCTCCGGGATTTTGGGCATGCATGCACACATGTCGAGTGTGGTTTTCAAGCTGTAGGGTCTGGGACTCAAATCACAGTCGGCCATGTCCCATGACTTAACCCCACACCTAAAATACCTGCTGGCCCCAACCCTTTAAGGGACTTAAAGGACTTTAAAGACTTTCTAGCTGGGGTTAAAACAATATAGCTTGAGGTGTTCTGTCTTGCCCCAGAGCCCATATAAGCTCCCCGGTGACTTCCATTATGAATCTTGTCTACCCCTCAGCTGGCCCTTTATACAGGATGTGGAGGTGATGGAACTCTCTACAGGTCACCAGAAGCAGCAGGCCTCAGCTGTGGCTGCAACACCTACAAGTTCTCCCCTAGCATTGGCTGAGAAAAGGCTCGCTACTTCTGGAAGCCACCCACCTCCTTCTCTACCATCAGTGTATACCCAGAGGAGTGAGAAATGAATAACTGCTTTGCTGAAACTCCTTCCCTGTCTTTCCCACTGGGTCTCAAGAGAAGCACGATGATCTTTCTGAGTCTGTGTCCACTCTAAATTTAGAGGGGAATAGAAGCTTTTATTGGCTTATTCGGAAACTACATAATCCATCTTTTGTTGATACCAGACTCAGTCAGTTCCTCCTCCATGTTTCCAACACTGGTCCATCACTGAGAGTCCTGTACTATACCATCTAGGTATTCAGATTCATTTGGACTATTTAAATGGTCTCCAAAAAGCTGACATCCTAGAAAAAGCATATGTATGTCACTCCTTTATAAAAAGGCATGCAAAATACAGCCCAAATTCTATGCCTCCAATCTACCGTTATGGCAGTATCTATTTATGTCCCCTTTTCATGCACCGCCCTAGCAGCCTAGCGCTCTTCCCACTACAGCAACGACTTCCCACCCACTATATCCATTCTTGGACGACTTCTCTGAAGACCTAATTTGAGTCTTGCAGCCTCTTGGCTCCCTTCAGAATAAAGGCAATATTGGAGGGAACACATGGCGTTAGAGACCTGTTTGTAAAGCTGTTTCTACTACTGATTAGTGGTGCGAACTCAGACAAGGAATTTAACCTCTTAGAACCAGTTTACTAGTTCTGAAACTGAGACATCTAGGTGTGCTGGTACACACCTATAATCCCAGTTACTTGGGATGCTGAGGTGGGAGGATCACAAGTTCAAGGCCAGACTGAGAAACACAGTGAGAACCTATCTCTTAAAAAAAAAAACTATAAGGGAGTAGATGGTGGCATAGTACAATGCAAAGCTCTGCAAGCTGACCCACATGGGAAGATCTGGGGTTTACATCTGGCGACCTCCCTGAGTACAACGGGCACATACACACCCATGATGTCAGGTTGGCCGAAGGTGGGATAGATCACGTCAGGACCCTGTTGGGGTGCCTGTATTTCTGTTTCACTGCTGCAGAAATAAACTTTAGAAAACATAAATAAAATAAAATCGAGATAATTCAGAACTCTCAGGACTACCTGAGGCTCAGAGTATGATGCCCAGTACAGACGGTGTGCTCGGTACACACCTGCTGTCTCTGACTTCCAGGATGGCTCCTAATTTTAGCTATCTTCAATGCCATCATGTTTTTCCTGTAGTTTCTGTCTCTCAATTAAATTTCTTATGGGCAGAAACTATTTTATATTCCTCTTGGCGTTGTCTTCCTGCTTAATGAAGAAAGCAAACTGCATGCTATGTGCAGAGTAGTCCGTGAGGGCAGTGATTCTCCACCCTGGTGCTGTGAAAATCACTTGAGACACTCAAAAAATAGCTATGTCTGGTCTTGGTAAGGACTAAGAATCCATATTTGGTTGTATATTCTCCCTGGCTGAACCCAGTAGTGGCCAGAGCCACTGGTACAGTTGTAAATTAAGCCTCTGCACTCTAGAATCAGACTGCTGTGGTTCACATTCTCTACCTCACCCCTTTACTGGACCTTGAGCAAATCAAACTTGCTTTTTTTCCTCTGTAAAATGGGCATAATAAACTGCCTATTTAGAGCCTTTGTGGGGATTTGGTTGGCACATGTAAGGAGTTCAGAGCAGTGTTATCACATTATAAGATGTTATTTGCTATGGAGGTTTTCATTCATTCTTTTGTTTTACCAATGATTTTAATGCCCATAAGCTAATCTAAACTAGTACAATAGTTTCCTCTTATCCACGGTTTTGCTTTCTGAAATTCCAATGACCTGTGGTCAACCTTGGTCCAACAGTACTAAATGGAAAATGCCAAAAATAACTCATAAGTTTTAAATTGTGCACTTGGGCTATCCTACTCAGTCCTGCCGGCAACACGACCAACCAGTTGTCCAGCATACCACGCTATGTATATACAACACCTTCTCCTTAGTAGTCATCAGGTTATCAGATAAAACAAACAAAAACTGTACTTAAGGTTCAGTACTCTTCAGGGTTTCAAGCATCCACTGGGGTCTTGGAATGTACCCACCTTGTGTAAGGGGTGACTAAGATACTTTAATATTCTCTTTGGGAAAGTCTGATTAAAATGTGCCTTAAAAAAAAACAAAAACCAAAAAACAAAAAACATTTTTTTATTGTGACCAGCAGTTGGCATAATGGCTATGTCGCTGGACTCCTATGTCGTCGACCACGTTTCAAGTCCTGGACCCGGTGGCTTAAACTCACGCTGGGTGCGTGTGTGCCTAAGATCCTGAGAGGAGAATGGAGGAGAAGGGATTGTGGTGTGGCTATGCCCCTGGAGGGGTGATTTCTCGCTTTCTGTCTCTCTCTTTCTGTCAAGCGCACATGCCCTATAGCAAAAACCTCTCCAAAAGAAAAAAGAAATATGGCTTTTGTAAAACACTGGCTTCTGCTTGCTTTGACAGCTGACACTGTCCCTCATCACCAAATGCATTTTATTCACTAATTTATTTACTGTTTTGTCTTTTTATGAAGTGCTTTAAATTAACTCTTGATTTTTCTATCTGGTGTCATCAGTGAGAGAAAAAGAATATGACTGTGTTTGAGCAGATGGTGGTGAGAATATTATATAAGACACTCAAATCCTTTATCTGACCATTATCAAGCCCTCTAAGCCAGTTTATATTCCAGGGAGATGTTGCCTTTTATCTGTTCCTAGCCTGCCAAATGTGCAATAAAACCGCTGACTGGATCATTATAAAATGTCACTTCTAAGACATTCTGGGCCATCTCCAACAACCCTCTTATTACCCTTTCGCTGCTCTCCTGCTCCCAGCGCTGCTCACTTCTCTTCACATGTCCTCTCTCCCAGACTTTCCTTTCTCAGTGCTCCTCACTTCAAGTTCCCTGACTCTCTATTTGGACTTTGTCATGAACCTCTTAACTAATTTCTAGATCTCCCATCTTTCACTCATATTTTGCCAGATTCATCTTTCTAAAGTCTAGCTTTGGTCATATCCTTACCTCATTCAGATAGAGGTAAGGCCATTGTTACTTCAAAACAAGATAGAAAAAGATTCACCTATAAATGAAGAAAAAGGAAAGTTGGAAAGTTGAAGAGAGTAAGATAAGAGGAGAGGAGTCCAAGAGCCACAGCAGGTACTGGGGAAAAGGCATCACAGCTGCTCTAGCACTACTCAGTGCCCCCACGGAAAGCATCTGGGAAGGAACCAGCTCACTCTGCCATCTCATCCTAAAATTTAAAACCAGAAGTCTTTGAACAATAT